TCAACATCTATACTTCTCTCTATTTTGAAGTATAGAATAAACAGTGACAGGCAACTTAACGTTGCTGTTAAAATAACAGAAAATGATACATCATAGGCCTGATTATATAAGCTTCGGAGAGAAATACCTGTCCTTGATTCCAGGTGAAAATCTCTCATACGAATCAGCCGTGCAAGGTTCCAGGCGAGACCCGCAAGAGCTACCCGTCCAAGGTACCGGGAGAAGCTCTTATCGCAGCAATAGATTTACCCGTCAAGGTACCGGGAGAAAATCTTAATGAAGCTTATATATTTGTTTGTTTTTGACCTTTTGGTGTGATTCGCGGTCCTGCAAGAACTGACCCTACTGTGGTTACGGCCGGCTCCAGTATATGCTTACCTTGGGTGGTTCTGGTGATTACTGCAGGTCAGGTCGGCTAGCTGACTTGCGTCTATATCTCAACGTGACTCCTTCAGTATGCGCGTGCGCCTACTTACCATAGAAGATTTTTAGGTTAGGTTTTTTTGTTTTGTTTTGATTTTGATCTTGTACGTTGTTACCTAAATTCCCTAATTTTGTTTCTACTGACTCTGGAATTTCTATCCACCCCGTTTAGGATAATTTTTTACTTAGCAAAAAATTAGCGCAAGAAACTCAATCTAGCCCTTAACTATTTATATCTGTAATAAATAAAACACAAAGGTACCTATGTATTTGGGTGAAAAATTTATTTTGACACAGAAAAAAATCAAAATGCACATAAAATCTAAAAGAAAGTATCTATAGTCCCCGCCACAGATAATCGAGGTTCCTTCAAAAAATGATTTCTCTGCGATGCCCGGATAAGCAAAAACTGTTGCAAAAAACTCTACACATAAAGAATTGAGAATAAATTTAGTCCAAGAGCATCAATTTTTTGATTTTGTTTATCCGGGCATCGCCGACAAAGAAATCATTTTTTCTAGGAAATATTGTTTTTTTCCTTCCAGCCACCAACGAATCATGCATATTTTTGGTATGTCTGCTTAAATTGCCCTGATTTGAAAATGTTTTGGAACACCAAGTACAGACATATACATATCTACAAAATTTGGATACATCTTCACTTCTGGACTTACTTCTCATTAGACTTACTCAATCACTTTTACTTATCTATAAGCCCTTTTTAATGTTTTCACTGTTTCCCTCCATCACGATACGAATCAACAGATATGTAACTACAAAAATTACCCTAAACGGAGTGAATAGAAACTTTAGGGTCAGTAGAAACAATGTTACGTTACGAAACAAGTACAAGTTCAAAATCAAAACAAAACAGGAAAACCTAACCTTAAAATCTTCTGTGGAAAGTACGCGCACGCGCATACTGAAGGAGTCACGTTGAGAAATAGACGCAAGTGGCTAGCTGGCGAAACTTGGTTCAAGACGACTGTCCCTTTATCAGCCAATCGGGCCTATTTTATAGACGAAAAGATGGGTCAGGGCCGCGGCGGGGTACATGGAAATATGCAAATTAGCTGATATTGGTTGAAACTCTGCTGGGTTTCGGTAGATTCCAGGCAAGGTCACGCGTTATCACGATGATTTATTTAATATTTAAATATAATATGAAGAAGATTTTAATTAATACCGCGCTGAATATAGAAAATTAAGGCACGCAGTTTATATTTAAATTAAATCGAGGCGAGAGGTGCCCTTAATTAACGAAAAATACTGTAACTTCGTTACAGGGCATATAGATTTAGCCTCGGCGAATACTTAAAAAGTAACCAAACAGGGCCAATTTTTTGACGTTTGTTGTATTATAAGCAGTGTTGCCATATGTTTTTTTTCGAATCTTGATTCTGGAAGGCTGAAGTTATTTCAATTATGAGCTCGAAGGTCCGATGAGGTTATACGAGCCTGAAGGGCCGGAATTATACGAACCCGTTCATTGTCAACTGATTTTAATACTGCAGCTCTTCGGATTGTAATTTTTGAAACAAAAAGACGCCATTTTATATAGGCCTACTTTGATATTTTAATTTTTTGACATTTGTTGTATCATGAGCAGCGTTGCCATATGTTTTTGTCAAATCTCGATTTATAGGTTATTTTAAGCCCAATCATTAACATTTCTGAAAAATATTTCCTTTAAAATTCCCAAATATCCTTTGGAATCCCCAAAAATCTATTAAAATCTCAGAATTCCATAATTTAGTGGAATTTCGGTAGAATAATTATGTTATTCTGAAAAAGGAATTAGATGTGAAATTTTTGCGGAGTTTCCATAGAATTTACATTAAATTTTAATTCCTCTCGAATTTCTTGAAATTTCAGTGAAATTTTGATTGAATTACACGAAATCCTAAATGAATTACATGGAGGAATTTTAAACAATTACACTGAAATTCCCAACATGAAATTTCAGTTTTTACTGAATTTTAGTAATGCCGAGGAATTTCCAACTAAAAACATGGAATTTCGGTGATATTCCGAAAACTTACCATGTAATAACATGAAATTTCAATATATTTCGATGAATTTAAAAAAAATTACTTGAAACTTCATGAATATTCCCAGAAATTCCTGGCTATTAAAAGAGAATTTCAGTGAAATTCCGAAAAATTCTTATGAAAATAAATTAAATTTTGAAAATTGCTTGAAGTTTCATTGGATTTTCGAGAAATTTTCGGTTATGAACGTGGATATTCTCATAAAATTTTAGTGAATTCCGAGAAATTTTTAAGAAATTACATGAAATGTCAATGAAATTCCTAAGAATTTTATGAAAATTTTGTGGAATTCCAGGATATTTCAGTGGTAGAATTTTAGTAAAGTTGAAAAAAAAAAAAGGGAATTTTGAAGTCTTAATGGAATTCCGAGGAATTTCATAAAATCCTATACTGTAATTAGCCTCCTCACTTGAAATAGTCACGAGCCGCCACTGTGGATTGTAGTCTGCCACTGGGATAAGAATCGCTGGAAATTTCAGCTTTCTATCTCTGATAGAAAAAACGGGATCATACTCAGAGCCATCAAATTTTAGACCAATTTCACTTTTGTCCACACTATCAAAAATTTTTGAAAAAATTATTAAAAAAATTATGCTAGAGTTTTTAAGTAGAAAGAACCTGCTGAGTGCTTGTCAATATGGCTTTCAGAGTTCTAAAGGTACGAATGATGCAATTTTTGCCTTCTTAAAAAACATTTATTTTAGGATAAATAACAAAGAATTTGCAGCTGCCGTTTTCATTGACTTTTCAAAGGCATTTGATTGTGTTAATCATGAATTGCACTTGAATAAGCTGCAAATATACGGATTTAGAGAAAAATCTTTTATAATTTTTAAATCTCACTTGGACGAAAGATACCAAATGGTTAAAAATGGAGAGTCATCGTCGACTCTAATGCCGGTAGATACTGGGGTCCCACAGGGGTCTGTACTTGGGCCAATTATTTTTTTAATATATCTTGAAGATCTGTTGAAGTTAGTGATTGAAGGTGCTTTTACGACTTTTGCCGATGACAATACAATTACTTGGAGTCATAAGGATTTGCAAGTTTTAAAGCAAATGGTTGCTAATGATTTGGAGAAAATTAAATTATGGTGCGACTCTAACTTTCTGTGTTTCAATATTGACAAAACTAAGGTCTTAAGTTTTAAGTTCGATTTTGATGACCTTCAATTGGGTCAACAGTCAATATCACAAAGTGAAAATACAAAATTTTTAGGAATTCATATTGACAGCAAACTAAAGTTTACAACTCATATCGAGAACTAGAACAAAAAAGTTGCAATGGACAGTTACAGCAGTTAGACTAACCTTCTGGGAATTGGGTTCACAAATGGCTAAAACAACGTATTATGCCTTAGTCGAATCGCATTTGCGCTATGGTGTAGCTTTCTGGGGAAATTGTTGCCAGAATTTATTTGAGTCCGTTTTTATTATGCAAAAGCGATGTGTGAGATATCTGTGTGGGGCCGGATTTAGGGACCACTGTAAGCCCCTCTTCAAAAAAGAGAGGATTTTGACATTGTCTGGATTGTTCATATTGGAAACTGTGAGCTTAATTTTCAAAAAATATAAAGATGTCACTCATGCTCATTTTTATCAAACCAGAAATCACAATGATATTCCTCTTCCTATTCCTAGTTCCAGCCTTACACAAAATTGCATTATTTATAGAAGTATAAAAAGCTTTAATAAGTTACCACCAGAATTTAAATCTGTTGATAATTTCAAAAAATTTAGAAGAAAAGTAAGGGATTGGTTGACTGATAGGGCACACTATTCTATAAATGAATATCTCTGTGATCATTATTAATTTAAAATTTTACTATCTGCCAAAAAGACACACATTATTGTTCCTTGAGTCTGATTTGCACTTTAAATTTTATTTATTTCTATTTATTTTAAGTTTTATTTATTTTTTATTTTAAATTCTTTGTGTGTGTAACAACTGTAAACGTTTTTAGGTACGTATTTTAATCAACAACTAAGTGTAATCAGTGTCTATAATTTTAATTGTAATGTATTTTTATTTTTTTAACCTTACCATGGCAAACGATGTTCCCATTTTGTTTTGTTGTCCCTTTGAAGATGTTTGGATGGTAGTTTTGTTGTTTTCGGTTTCATCTGTATAACTCTATATATCCCTACCTCATTTAATGTTATGCTATTTTTATTTTGAAAGTTTAGGTTTAGGAATTACTGGCTTTGTCAATGGATTTATTTTTTTACGACAATAAAGCATATTTTGATTTGATTTGATTTGATATAACAACAATTTATTATTGTTTATAAGTTTCATAATTTTCAAATACGATATTTCCTTTTTTAATTCCAAAGGTGTGTGAACTATGTATAGGTTACAGCACATGTATTTCTTATGGGCATAACTTATTTCAAACGTTTGGAATTAATGAAAGATTCGTCTCGTTTTTTCACAAGCAAGATAAAAAGATTTACTTCAAGTAGAAGTGGTCCTTCTCTTAGTTTAGAACAAAATAAAACTTTCACAAATAAAAACTACAATAGTATTTGAAAAATGGAATTACTATATTAAATTAAACTAAATAAACAATCAACAAAAAACCAGAAACAATTTTTTTTTTTAAAACAGATGATAAACTAACTTTTCCCTCAATCGGTTGTATGATAACATGGCAGAGGCAAAAATATACATAAAAAGTTATCATACAACCCATGAAGTTAAGTTTGAGAACACTTTGAACTACTATTATTAAATAATAACTTTCTAAATCAGTCATCAGAAAAATTAACATAGGTAATTAAAGACTTAACATAATTGGCTCTAATCCTTCTTTACTACATCTGGAATAAAAGTATTTTTATAGCAATAATTATTAAGCAAGTTAATTGTTACCTTTATTAATTGGGTTATGTTTTTTAACTGGACTTATATTAAAACCTTTTTTTTTCAAGTCGCTAAACAACTGTTCTCGGGCACTTGATCCAGGAGATTGATTTTCTTCTGCATTATTATTATAAGACTTTCTTTTCGACCTATTTTCCTTGTTCGATTTAAACTCAGTGGGGGTGGATGGCAGTTGATTGAGAATAGGCAGTGAGGCGGCACTAACAAGTTCACCAACAGGCTAAAAATTGTTTATTTATTTAATTTGTGTTGTGATAATGTTTTCTTGAACAAAGTTATATAGATTAGTAATATGTATATTGTTAGATGGCGCTACTAATGTTAAAACTTGATTTTTGTAAATGAACTTGTTAGTTTAAATAAATAATCATTAATAAACTAACAGACAGTATCATTTTAAATAGATCTAGTGAAAACAAACAATAGGTTATGGATCCAGGAAGTTCAAAATAAATAAGTAAAATCGCAAAAGTTAAAAAAGAAAATGTACTTATACGTATCAAAGATTATGGCTTTTGTGGCAAGAACAAGTAATACATTTGTTAAATGAACTAGTGAAAAACAAACAAAAATTTATTTAAAATATATAAATATTTGATTAGCTAAAAGTTACCTTTTTATTAGATTGAAGATTTGCTTTGGTGGTATTACTGGGCTGAGAAGAAATTGGTGGGGACCCAGATATGGTTGATAACCGGATTATTTTGTTCAGGTTATTAGTCATTTGTCTTTGTAGAGTTTTTGCATTGGTTTGTCCTTTGGAGAATCGCATGGGAATTGATTGCTGCTCTTGCTGATGAAGATTCTTTTATGATTATCATTTAGTTATTATTTTCCACTTTAAGCAAGTTGAAATATTAACTCAATTTATCTCTCCTCAAATAAGTGAAACTTACCCTTTGATGTCCAGATTGGACAACTTTGGGGCTGGTATTTGCACGTCCAGATTGGACAACTTTGGGGCTGGTATTAGCACGTCCAGATTGGACGACTTTGGGGCTGGTATTAGCGCCATTAAGTAGCGTCACTGGAATGCCGTTAACATTAATTTTTGAAGGCAGCGGTACTCTCCTCAGAGGAGATCCATTGGACGTACGAACATTCTGTGATTTTGGACTCTGGCTAGATGTCGATGCAGCAACAGCTAATTATAATTACAAATTTAGTTATTATACAATTCATATTAACATTTGAGAGAAGATCTTGTGATTTTTTTTATATTATGTTTATAAATTATTATGTTACTAAAGCCCTGCCGCTAGATACTTTACCGAGCAGGATTAACAATAAAAAGATTAGAACGGATTTCATTATTTTTCAATTTGCCCTAAGAGAGTTTATAGGTGAAAAATTCCGGCATATTTTTTTTTCTCACTTACCAGAGATCTGTGGAGTGTGCGCAAAGGTCAGATTTTTAGCCGCACTTAGAGTGGATGGGCTACCAGGCGATCCCTGCCTCATGCCTATTATTCTGGGAAATGGAGGACCTATTGGGTTTTGCTGGAAGTTCGGTAAGTTTGGTGCAACCAATTTTGGATCTAAAAATGTAGAAATTAGAAGTTAGAGTTACATTAATTCATGCAAGAAAATGGCTAGGCTAATGGGGAAAAATTATTGATCGCTAATGATATTCCTCAGATAATTAACATATTCAGGTATTTTATTGGAAATTTCCCTTGTGCAAATTACACTGGAAATTTTGCATACAAATTGTCAAAATTAAGAAGTGGAAATTTTTGGAAATATCCCGGTGAAAATTTCCAGAATTGTCATTTTTGACATTGATGCCCGTTTTTCCATTTAAAACGCATTGATGTCAGAAATCTGTCAAAGTGTATATTTTTGACAAAAGCAGTTTATATGGAAAGATCAATAGCAATCAGCATCAATAAAAGAATTCGACACAATGTAGTAAATAAGTTTCAAACTAGGGAAATTTCCTATCAAAATATAACACGTGCTTACAATATTTCCTAAGGGAAATTTTAAAAAATTTCGTCTTTAGCCAATATTTTGGTAATTTTTATCCACGCTAATTGTTCGAGATCAGAATCCAAACAAAGTATTCATCGAAACCTGAATTTGCTCAGAAAATGCCTCCTGGGCAATTTTTCACTGTTACTTCTGAGGCTGTGATTGATCTCAAAGATGTTTTGAATCAGATCCAATCTCAACCTCATTTCCAGTAATAATAATAATTATTGCTGTAAGGCTCCAAGGCTGTAAGTAATATTATTTCTGGTGCTATTCTGATAAACTTGTTGGAAACTCTCTGGAAGACTAATTTACCCTTCTATAATTCTATTAGCCGGCCAATGGGATTACAGATTGAGCTTTTATCCTAAGATTCCTAAGATTGTATACCTGAGAATTTATCAGCAGATGAATAACCAGCCCTTAAAACTATAAAAAGGAGCTATTGATTGCCTTTATCTCTTAAGTCTAATAAAATTTATTTCTCCTTATCTAGACTAATCCAATAATGTTACAATAGATAGACACAATATTATGAGCTCTTTAAATACTGTGTTGATGATTTGAGTCAATAATTGGAGAGATCCCTCACCCTTGTCTTGTAACATTGGATTTTTAGCAGTTAATGAGGTAAAAATCTTACCATCTTTTAGATCTGGCGAAGTTTTGGCTTTTTCCAATTGCTGCAACTTGCGCAAATGATCCAGAGAAGACCGTACGCGTTCTCTCATTTGAGGCGATTGCTGCTGATTGGATGGCGGAGGAGGCGACGTCAGATCGATGCCATCAGCCAGGATAACTGGTGACTTACCGCCAAAGACATTGGTTGGCTTCACGTTGATTATTTTCGCAGAAATAGGCGGTTTTGAACCTGGAGGCAACTTCTTGAATGGAGTCGCTTTTATTATATTTGACTTATTTAATTGAGGGCCATTTTCCGGTTTTTGGGTGATAATGTTTTGAGAGCGTTCATTTGCTGAAAGATTCAATTATATTAAATTATCTCATCTCTAAGCGGTGTTATTGAATAGTGGGATCAAACTTCTAGGATAAAAAGTACTCATTAAAATTTTAAAAAAGTCGATAGAAACATGGGTCCACAAATACCTAATTTGCGAGATACAGTTTGAAAAAAAAAAAAACGCGTTTTTTTTAGCTCACAAATCCCTTTCACAGTGAAGTGCAATTTTGTTTATACTTTTACCAATGTAGTTCACTGGAATAATTATGGTAAATCTAATTGAGTCAATAGATACCTATTGCTTTACAAACAAACCTGCCAAGTTTAAAGGAAATCGGGAAAGGGATTTTTGAGTTAGAAAATCGATCTTTTTTTCAACACCCTGAATCTCGAAAACTAAGCATTCGTGGTCCCATGCTTATTATTATTAGTTACAACAGTAAACGGTTATGACCGATGAAACTGTTGTCATAATTTCCGTGGTTCTTTTTTGGCTTTTCAAAATATTCAGCTTGTTCATTTACAGTCCGAAGTGAATGTTCACACTAGTCAGCACTTCCCGTTGATTATCTAGTTTTCCGATAATGCATTCCAATGATAGACAATTCTATTTGTCAAAAAGTTTTTACGGGGTAGTTTTGCGTTCTTCTCTTTTTCCAGTTTTTTGCTGTGTCCTCGAAGGTGTATGTTTGCATTCGCATGGAAGATATTAAGAGTAGCATTATAATATGGTTTTAAAATTTTGTAGGTCTCAATAAGATCTCCTCTTAAACGCCTTTCTCGTAGAGTTGTCAATTTAAGTCTTTGTAGTCTTGTAGTATAGTCTAACTGTGATAATTCTGGTGGTATTCTTGTTACACGTCTTTGAACTTTTTCTAATAGCTCGATGTCCTTTACAAAGTAAGGGTTCCATATTGTTTCGCCATATTCTAGTTTTGGCCTAATATAAGTTTTATATAGTTTCAATATGGTGTCCATTGAGTGGTCTGAAAATGCTTTTTGGATGCAATAAATGAACGAGTTTGCTTTTTTCACTATCCTATGAATGTGTGGTTCCCATTTGAGGTCTGCGCTGATGATGACGCCTAAATCACTCTGTTGATCGACGTTATTTAGATTGGTACCATTTAGTGAATAGGTGTGTTGTTTATTCCAATACTGAGTACTGTGCACTTCTCTTCGTTTAGTTTCATGCTCCAGGTTTTTGCCCATTGCTCTATTCTATGAAGATCTTCTTGCAGCTCTTTAGACTTAGTTCTGAAGTTTGCAAACAGCTTGGCGTCATCGGCAAAAAATATTATACGTGTTTTTATTTCCATTGCTAAGTCGCTGATATAAACTGAAAAGAGCAGAGGACCAAGCACTGTACCTTGAGCTATCCCGCTGAGAGCCACATGTACGTCAGAGAGTACTCCATTTATTCTTGTTTGAAAAGTTCTTTTTTTCAAAAAGAAGGAAAGACAACCAAATAGATTACCATCAATACCATAGTGGTCTATCTTATGAAGCATTTTATTGAATGGTACTTTGTCAAATGCTTTCTCAAAATCTAAGTAGACGATGTCGGTTTGTTCATTCTTATCAAAGCTTTGTGTCCAGGTGTTCAAACAAGTTGTGAGGTTGGTAATGGTTGACTTTTTTGGAAGGAATCCATGTTGGTGATCTGTGATGGCCCCATTTTCAAGGAGGAATGGTGTTAATTCTTTTGTGATGACCTTCTCAAAACATTTGCAAATATTGGAAGTTAAACTTATTGGTCTATAGTTGGAAGGTAGTTGTTTATCGCCCTTTTTGTAAAGTGGGGTTACAATAGCATGTGTCCATATGTCTGGTAGTCTTCCACTCTCCATTATCTCATTCATGGCGTCTGCTAGAGGTTTCGTAATTGCTTCGTTGCAATTTTGAAGAAATACTTCCGGAATGTTATCAGGACCGGGACCGGCGTCTTTCCTTAAGCAGTTAATGGCCTCAGAAACCTTGTCACTGGTAAAAACGATTGAAGTTAATCTGTTGTTGGATTTTGTTGATTCAGGAAGTTTCGGGAGCTCTGGATCATCGTCTCTTGAGAAAACTCTGGTGAATTGTTGTGCAAATTTTTCTGCTATCGCGTAATCATCCGTAATTGGAGCTCCTGTGGACAGATCTTTTAAAGTAATTTTGGAGACTGTTGTATTAAGAGTGCGTTTTACGTATTTGAAAAATTGTTTGTTGTCGTTTGATGATGCAATTCTTTTTTCAAAGTCCCTCCGTGCTTCCCGGATTTTGTTTTTGAGTTGGTTGTTCTGAATTCTATACACGGAGTAGTTTTGTTCACTTGGAGAATTTCTGTAAATGTCCCATAGTCTTCTTTTTTTGTTGATCTCATTGAATAAATAAATGGGATTTTTTGGATTGACTTTAAATGATATTAATGGGACATATTTGGATATAGCCTGCTGTAGTATGTTAGTGAATGTCTCATATTTGATTCCTGATGGACATGTTATATCAAAGTCTTGTTGGCTTAAATACAAGTTAATTTCATGGTAGTCTGCTTTCCAAAAATTTTTTTTGGTGACTTTATGCGTTGGTCTATCTCTGCATTTGAGTTGTGATTTAGCCGTGATCACAACATGGTCACTGTGGCCTATTGGTGCATCATGGTTTATGGTGCTTCTATCAACTTTTTTTTTATTTTAATGAGTATCCTAATTTGATCCCACTATTCAGAAAAACCCTTTTTAGAATAGTCTTTTAGGGACCAAGATAATTTGGAAAGCTTCTCATTTCAATAATTTAATATACCTAATATTGTACTTACCAGATTTATTATATCCTGTTGTCAGAGTCGTGTTTGGTTGTATTTTAACCTTCTGCGATTTTTTATTGATATTTTGTACTAATGAATTATTGTTTATTTGGTTAGTCTGCGGCAATGTTGCTTGCGTAACATTTCTAGCATTTTTACCATTAATCTTTTTCACATCATTTATTGCATTTGCTATTTTCTGCTCCAAACTATCACCAGCCTTTACAGGAGATAGGTCTGACAGATTTATAGTAGAATTCTTATTGGAATTGTTCAAATTCTGAGGGTCTAGTTTAGGCCTTTTTGCAGTCAAATTGTCATTTGTATTTGGCTTCTCAGGCTCTCTGTCACGCTTTTTCGTCAAATTTTGTTTATTGGATGTTGGAGGCGGGATAAAGGGGGCTTTCGTTGGGTTTTCAAGAGATAAAGAACCTCCATTTCCTACAGAAACCTGCAAAAATCGGGAAAATTGAAGTATTCATTTAAACTTTTTCAAGTATAATAAAACCACTTACGTTTTGGTTTAAAGCTGCAGTAGGTCTTGAATTTTGGACAACTTTACCAAAATTAATCACAGTCGTCTTTGTCGGAACATTGGCTTTTATATTTTGTACAACGTTGCCGAAATTATTTATCCTCGATGAAGACGATTGCTGATTTGCCACTATATTTTGAGCATTGTTGTCAAAATTATTTATGCTAGATGAAGGTAATTGCTGACTGGCAACAACAGTTGGTCTGACATTTTGCGTGTTGTTGCCACTATTAATTATCCTTGGTAAAGACGATTGCTGACTTGCCAGATTATTCAATGGGGCTACAATGATTTGCTTTGTGTTGAGACTGAAAAAAATATATTTTTCTTTGTTAAAAGATCATCAAAGATATACTATAAAATCACCTTGCATTATAAATATGAGTGGATTTGGATAGTCTTATTCTGGGAGGATAAAAGTCATCATAGGAATTTTTTTTTTGGAAATGGGCTGGTCTATAAGTAATTAGATTAGATTAGTCATTTTTGGAGCGATTGCGAGGGAAAAGCTAGTGTTATAGTAAGTAATGTACTCACCTGTCTTTGGGTAGTGAATAGCTGTGATCTGGAAAATGGGTGTTGATCAGGCTAGAAAACAAATTTAAAAATTATTAAATTACCATTTTATGAACTTTTTTTTTTAATAAAAAAAAAAACAATATTTGCATAAATTTATATTTTTTAGAACATGTTTGATAAATAACAATGAAAAAAACACTTATTCAAATGTAAAAATTTGAACTAAAAAGCGTTACTTTGACCAAAAGGGCCATAATTAAATCAATAATAATAAATAACTTTCAACTTTTTCAATAAATAACTTCCTCAACCATATTGTAAAATGATTAACAATATAAAAGGCAAAGTTTTGTTTTTCACAGCCAGTTTTTGAAAACCTTGCTAGTTATCACCTAAAAATTAGGTTGAATTTTATTATAAACTTAAACTAAAAATAAATAGAAGGGCATATTTTTGGTTGAATTGGCAAATTGCTATCGAAAAAAAAACCAACGCCATAACTCAGTCAAGTTCTTCATCAGTAGAAGGTATATCTATGGTGCTTAAAGTGTCGTTCATGCCATCATTAGCCCATTCTTGGCTTTCATTTCTTGGATCATATTCAATTGAACTTAAGTGCTTAGACAGAATTGAATTAAACTCAGTTATCTGCTCTTGCAACTTTGGGACAAATTCTGATCTAGTTGAAGTGGGACTAGAAACTGATGCTAAAAAAATATCATAATCATAATCAATTAAAAAAAAAAAACAAAGTATAGTTACCTGAAGATGTTGAAATCTGTTCGGGCATCGTTTGAGACCGTATTAATTTATTTACATCATCAATAGTATTCTAAAAATAATGATAAACCAGAAAATATTTATACTACAAAACCAGACTTACCATTGAGACAGTCTTTTGATTGTCCTTTGGCACATAGAAAAGTATTGTAGAAGTTTGAGGCGACCTGGAAAAAAAATAACGTTTCAGTTATCTTAAAATTGCCATAAAAAATAACAACGTACCTTATGACATTTTAATTAATGAAAACTAGCACCAAAAACATTACACAAGTCCGAACAAAACTTTATAATATTTGAATTGAAGCAAAATTCAACCTATTTCATAAATATGACCATTGTTCAGAATTGAAATTTAGAGTTTCTTAGTTCTATCTTAAAAGTATGGTTAATGATTAAGCTGCTGATTGATGCTAAAAGTGTATAAAGTATCGCTCCTGTTTAAAGTCAATTTTATATGTGTTAAAGTAGTCCAAAAATTTTGAAAATTGTACGAGCAATTAATTAGTGTTTTGTGTAATGTTCCTGTAAATTCGAGGCCGACAGGTGAAGTGCAATATAGTTGAACCTTGATTTAATTATTTGCTGTTATTAAATTTAAATTTTACTCTTCGGAAAAAAAAAAGATGCAAAAAAAAAACATAGATAGGAATTTTAAATCCTTATCCTTTTACGGTCACTGACCTTCCTCACTGAAATTGAGGAAAAGGACGGACAACTTTCTAAGCTAAGACGACAATCTTTAGATTTCCAGGATGAGGTTTTTTCGACGGAAAAAGATCTAGAGTTGAAATTGCGCGGACAAAAAAAGACGATCGACGCTTTAAAGGATAAGTTAAATAAATCTATCATTGAAAATTCTCAACTGAAAAAGGAGAAAAAAAGAATTATTGGACAAAATGATGAGCGATGATTTAAGAAACGAACTTATACAAGTACGAAAGGATTTGAATGTCACAGACTCGATTATTGAAGAACTGAATAATCAAATAGCTAATCACAATGGAGCGGGCCTCACCGAACAAATAACTCAGTTAAGCGTGGAGAAGATTTCCACTGAAAAAGAACTTCAGTTAATTCAAAATGAACTATCAAGAGCAAAAAACGACTTGAACGACCTGAATATTTTGAAGAATAATCTTCTTACTTCGATAGAAACCTTATCAGTGCAGAACAATCTATATTTGGAGGAAATCATGAAACTTAAGAGTGAACTATGTACTAGCTCAAATAAAGCGGAAAAAGAACAGTCATTAGCTCCCAGCCAGGAAGTACCTAAACCTGCCACTGATAAAATCACCAAGAACCAAATCCTTCTGTTTGGTAACAAGTCTTGTGTAAGTGGAACTGGGTTACTTGTCAAATCTTTTTGTCAGAGCAAATATGATATAAATTGTCAGTACTCTAATTTCAAAATGCCAGCGGAAACACTCATCAAACAATTTGCCCCACTGAGTAAAAATTTCACAAAGAAAGATTTTGTCGTATTATTTGCTGGGATGGTCAATGCTTTACAAGGAAAAGTCATCGATGAGTCTTGTTGAGGTACAATCTCTGAAATATCCACCAGAACCAACTTAATCATAGTCACTCCTCCTTACTGTGACAGCAGCAGAGTTCTCAACAATTTTATTTATAATTTTAACTTGGACTTAAAAAAGCACCTGTACCAGAGGTGTATTAAGTGCTATTACTTACCCAGTGATAGCCTCATGTCTGCTTATGAGCGAAATCGAAATGGCTACCTGGATTATGAAATCAAGAGAAGGCTGTCCAGATTCATCTGTAATCAAGTAATTGACCAAGAATATAACAACATGGAAAATTTTCCACCAGACAATCACCTTCCCACTCAGCCTTAGGCAACACAACATTAGATCTAAACACCTTAACCATTGAAACGAATATTCATGAAACGGCAAATTCACAAAATAGAAACATCACAATTTCATACCAGAATGTTCGTGGACTGAGAACCAAAACGGTGCCATTTCAGCAGGAAGTACTAAACTGTGATTATGATGTTATTGTGCTGACAGAGACATGGCTGAACGAGGGAATCGCCGATGAAGAATTATTCCCTCCAAACTACATGGTATATAGAAGGGATAGAGAGCCAGATCAAACAAATAAATCAAGAGGCGGTGGTGTTCTCATCGCAGTGGAATGCTCTTTCGAATCATTAATTTGTACAGTTCCTGATAACGAAGTTGAACAAATCTGGGTCAGTATACAATTTGGAAATGACAACTACATTGTGGCAGCACTCTATGTACCACCATCCTCCAAAGCCGCGGTTTATGAAGACCTTGTAACTTCCGTGAGTTATGTTCTTGACCATTTTCCGTCGACTAAGGTTTTGCTATTGGGAGACTTTAATTTGCCTAGCTACGAGACCTCGTTTGTTCAAGTTAAAACTTGTGATAGAGTGGATGTAGATAATAATATTTGCCTCAACTTGCTTTCTACTAACAGTGACTGTGACTTTGATAAGATATTTACTTCGAACAATGAGTGTGAACAAATACTTTTCGACTGTACATGTTTTTACGACCTTACTCAGTATAATAATGTTTTTAATGCCAATAATGTTAAATTGGATTTAGTTTTTTCAAACTACCCCAACATGTCTATATCAAATAACATGTCACCTCCAACTAACGTTGATAGCCATCACCCTGCTTTGTTGATTGATCTTTTTGTTGACACAGTGGGAGATAATGTATCGGATCTGCAACTCTTCAAGTATAATTTTCATAAAGCTCCTCAATAAACTAGAGTCATTCGGCGTCACAGGCCCTCTTTTATCTTGGGTTGCAAGTTACCTCCAAAACCGAACACAGCTCGTTAGGATTAGGGAAGCTGTATCTAGAGAAATTGCAGTCACATCTGATGTACCCCAGGGGTCACATTTGGGCCCTATTTTGTTTCTTGTTTTCATTAATGACCTTGCCAGCGCATTCACCAATTGCAAATTTCTCTTCTATGCTGACGATCTCAAAATTTTCAGAAACATCACTTGCAGCCACGACTGCTCACTTCTACAGCTGGAGATCGATAAGATATCAGAATGGTGTACGTTAAATGGAACTGAACTAAATACTTCCAAATGCAAGATAATATCGTTTTCTCGAAAAAAAGTGCCCATCCTGCACTCCTACTTTATTGCACGTTCCATTCTGCCAAGAGTAGATCTAATTAACGATTTGGGAATAGTTTTTGACACTAAGTTAAGATTTAACAATCATATAAATTTTATCTTGGCAAAAGCGTTCAAAATGGCAGGCTTTATAATGCGTAGGTGTTGGGAGTTTTCTAACATCGAGGTGCTGAAGTCTCTGTATTTTTCATTGGTGCGAAGTCACCTCGAGTATTGTTGCATAGTTTGGTCGCCATGTTACCAAACCCATATTAAGCGCATTGAACGTGTTCAAGGGAAATTTGTCAACTTCCTGTTATACAAACTTGGAATTGACAAAAGTCAGTTTTCACACCAAGATCGTTTGCAACTACTAAATATCGATAGCTTGGAGATGCGTAGGACATTTCTGACAATCCTGTTCGGGTTCAAAATACTAACCAATAATGTGAACTGTCCGGAACTTTTGGCACTTATAAACATTCGTGTACCTTCACGCGATACGCGTTTAAGTGGTACGTTTTCAACCAACAGAAGCCGGACTGATGTTGGTAAAAATAGTGTTGCATCTCTTCAACACGCATATTCCTGCAAACTTTGAATTCAATTGCACCCCGATTACATTCAAAAATCAACTGAAATCAATATTAGCAAACCTTTAACGACTATAGATCGGAGGCATTTCAGTGACTCTAAATACGGCAGTATGGATCTTGACTCTCTGTGAAAATGAGTTGCAGCGCCGATATATGATTTAAGGGGAAGTTAGGGAAGTAATTAAGGGAAGGGTGCCATATGTATGTACCTATTGTATTGTGTTTATTTACTTTTATTTGTATTTGCCTTGTATTAATTGTTGTGATCATATGTATAGCACAGTTTTATTTTATTTTATTTTTTGAAAAAGTTTGTTATAGATATAAGTATACCATTTGGAGTTTGCTCTGTTGTGTATTAAACAATAAATAAATAAATAAAAATAAATAAATTTCTTAAAAACTACACATGGAAACACTTCTAAGCTTCCAGTTCCAGGGTAGAAAGAAGTCTAATAAAATATATGCTTAGACAGAAAACATTTACATTTAATCATCGGGCATATTTGACTAACGTGGCCCCTTCCATGTTCAAGTCCATGAAAATAACCAGAGGAGCCACGTCAGTCATATATGACTGACATATAAAAAATGGTGGGGAAAGTTAAAAACAAACAAAAAAATACTATAAACAATAGCCGTGTTCGCTTTTGTCTGCGTGACTCGATCAGCAGTTTAAACTTATGGTTTAAACTTACGAATCATGTGCCTGTCAAAATTTCGGAGCAAATCGACGAAAAAGATGACAAAAACGAACACACCAAAAAAGATAAGAATTAATCTCACTGAGGTGCTTGATATCAGATTTTTTGTTCATAAAATCATCACTTTCAGAAATAAAAACCATCTCTTTGAAGAGACTTTTTGAATAGTGCGATTCACTAGTTAAAACTCTCACAGAATCATAATTCATTTCAGCCACTTTTTAATAAAAATTAAGAGAAAAACAAATGTGGCCTCATGGGATATTTTCCCAATATACATGTGGGATGCAATGTGTTATGGGGCACTTCAGGATTATTTCTTTTTATAACAAAGTAGGGTTGTTTTGAACCCTCCTATACGCTCCTGAGAGTATGCCATATGGCATACGGTAAGTACCAGACACCCTGTATAATGAACAATTTTGGGTTAGTTCATTAATTTGGCGTTATTTCCTGGCCCTATTTTGTTAGTATTTTTCCATCAATCTTAAAGTATTTCCAATTAGTCTCATATGTCCTAATTTCTTCTAATAATAATAGTTTCCAATGCTTAATGGAAATGAAGAAAAATGAAATTGTAATGCAGGTTTCCAAAACATTTTGAAAAGTGGCTATTTTTTAATATACATATATTTATTCAATATTTTCTAATGACTTTTCATATAGAAGCACCATTTTTATCAGTAGGAAATCTTGGCAAAGGTTATTATCTCCCACCTATCAGGAAATTTTCCAGTTACTATAAAATATCTTTGGAGGTTTTGATAACAAGTGGAAACTAACCCAAAATAACATTTCATATTCCAACCTCGCCAGGATAACAATTTATTAAAGCTCTTTATTATTTAATTACCAAATCACAGGCAATTTTGTGCTCTGTTCAAATATCCAAAAGAACCGCAAAAATATGTAAAATACAAAATCAAATCTACTTACTTCTGACGAACAGCGTTAAGTTTTGGATTCACAGGAACAAAGGAAGGTCTAGGCTGTGAAGCTGATATTGCATTCAATGGTCTAAATTGGACACCTGGTGATGGGCCCGATAGTCTTAGTGGTGGTACAGGATACTGTCCTGATGTCCCAGGATACTGTCCTGATGGTCCAGGTCGCAAACCTATTGGTCCATAATTTTGGCCTGATGGTCTCGCATAAATGTTTGACATTCCAGGTGGTCTGACAAGCAAACCTGATGGTCCAGGGTGTTGTGGGCCTAAAAGCCTGTAATTTGGGGGTCCTGCCAGTACCGCGGAAGCTGTCCAGAAATTGGGGTGTTCTCCCATCGCTGTAAAAGGTGGAGGAGAATCTGGAAAGAAGAAAGATAGGATATCAAACGTTTTCAATGTCAATTCAGTTACCACTAGATCTTATTTCATAAATCTATAGAATTGAATAATTGATAATCATATACTTTCATTATCGGAGTAAATTTTGGAAAAAAAGGCCAAAAATGTCTTTCAAAAATCATTATGTTATACATATAACAAATATTTAGCTAGCACCATTGAACTAAAGGACAGTGACATATCAGATCACAAAGTAATGTACGTAGAAATTAAAAAAGCAATACATAAATTGAAAGAAAAAGTAAAAACGAGTTTTTTAATGGAAAATAAATGACTGAATAATATGCAGGAAAAAAAACAAAATCATTCATATTGCTTATCAATATTGTTCAGGCAAAAAATGTCAAACTCTCGAACATAGCAGTTTTGAAAACATGGCAGAATAAATTACCACCATAAACAATATTTTGAAAGATGTAAAGTTATGAATTCAACTAGATATTAATAATAAAGAACTTACCAGGTTTTCTATTAAATTCTTCCCAAGCCGCATTTTTCTGCAGCTCATCCAAATCTTCTTCTGGTCGATTGGCTAATAGCGCTTGATGTTCGTGCCAGCGATAAATGAATTTGTGTTTTTGTAGGAGTTTAGCTAAAACCTGAAAGAAATCGTTTCACTATATTGAATCAAAAAAGCAGACAAACTTACCCTGTCTTCAGGTACATTCGGTACAGGTCTGACGCCAGCAATAGTAGGCCTGACTGAATAAAATTCTTGTATATCGGCAGCACTGTAATGCCTAGTTATCTGATGCTTATCCACCACTCGATGGGCGATTGCCAATTTTGTGACTTGTCTTTGGTACATTTTTTCTTCCATTGTATCCTATTGAAAATATTAATAGTTGGTGAGTAAAGAGAGAGCAATAAATCTGATGGAAATATTTTTTAATAAAATACTTACCATGGCAATTAGCCTGTAAACATAGACAGGTTTAGTTTGACCAAACCTGAAGACCCTAAAAACGCTTTGAATGTCGTAAGAAGGGTTCCAGTTGACGTTCATCAAAATAACGCGATTGGCCGCGGTCAGATTCAAGCCCAAGCCTCCTACTTTGGTGGACATTATGAAAACTCTAAAAATTAAAATTAATTAATGCTGACAATAACATATTGTTGGTCTTACTTCAAAGCATTTCTGCAATTGAAACTATTGCACATATCAGCCCGGCGTTCAGGTTTTATTAGACCGTCCATACGGTAATAGTCGTGACCCTTTCTGAATTTCAAGTGATTGCATAGGAACCACTCCAAATTGTCCATTTCGGCGTAGGCCTGGGCGAAAATCAGTCTAGAAAAAAACGTCATATTATTCTAACTTGATGATCCAGTCAGTCAGATTCTCCTGTAAGCTCAACATATATTTGTTATAAAAATCCACTTACACTTTGTCACCAACCTCGGCCGCTTCCTTAACTAAATTAACCACCGTCATCATTTTACTGCCCTTCTCCAATTTCTTGGTACCTTCTTTAGGCAGCAAGTCTTTATACCATCCATTTCTGTCGAATGCTTTTACCTCTTCTATATAATCCACATCGTCTATAACATCTTGTTCTTTGATTTTCAATTTCGACGTTTTCTCGGCTATAGTAACCACATCCGGATGTTGACAAATGTACTGAAAATTAAGATATTGAATGATGTTAAACCAAGAGCTCAATCTTACCCTAAGAATTTGTATGTCACCCAAAAAGTTTGCACGGCTAATTTCTCCAGCTCTAGTAAAAACCACGGGCCTTGAATTTACCATATCCAAATAGGCATTGTAAAGATTCACCTGCAAATCGCTCAACTTTACAAATAGTGCCTGATCCGTGAAATTTGGCAAGTACTGCTTCAGTTCAGAGTCTTCGACCCTCTGAACTGTTTTGTTGAGTATTTTATGCAGCACGTGAGTTCTTTTCTTCATGAACATGATATCATCGGCTGTGGAATCTTCAAACTGGCCGTTGCTTATCGGATTGACAAAGTTGGTTTTGAACTCTTTTTCGGTACCCAGCAAATTGGGTTTGACGAAATGTACCATGTAATAGTCTAGATTTTAAAATATTATATAATAACTTTAAGCCGAAGACATTATAAAAAAAAATCAGAATTAGTTAGAAAAAAAAAAATGCATCTCAATTATTTTATTTTAATTTAAAATTCACGAACCCACATCAAAGTAAAAAGTAGGTAGGTTCAAAGGCGATCTAACCATAGTAATTCTACCCCTAAAGCCTCAAAATTGACACCAGAGTAGACAAATTAATGCAATATTTAAATCATCAACTCACATTCCAATAAATTGTTTTGCAAAGGCGTTCCGGTCAAAACAATTCGCCTTTTGGTCTTCACCTTGTTCAAAGCCATTGTTCTTTGAGTTTGCTTGTTGCGCAAAAGATGACCCTCGTCGCAAATAACCAAATCCGGACCAGGATCGACTAAGGCTTTGAATATATCATCTTTGAAACAGCCCAGACCTTTTTTGCCCCATTTTAACCACTTTTTCTCATCGATCATGATGCTGAAACACTCGTAGCCCAATACGAGTAGCCCTCCAGTTTTATACCAATTTTGAACGATTCTGAAACGGCGATCGCCATCATTCCTAGAAAAAAATTATATTTTAGACCTATTTTTGAAGATTCCTTAGTAAAAAATGTATTATTTGAAAATATCTTACTCGATTGTAAATAACTTGACATTTGGATTTCGAATATTTTGATAAGCCAGCTTAAATTCATTTTTCCAATTTGATACAGTAGACAAAGGACACACTACAAGCACATGCTTGGTTTTGGTAAGGGCACAATTGAATAAAACATGAATTAGAGCCAATGCCTGCAAAGTTTTTCCAAGGCCCATACAATGGGCTAAAATACAACCGGAACCTCCCCATCCCTTTTCTAACTGTTTGATACTCTCATAGCAAGAGTCCCACATAAATTGAATACCTCGTCTTTGATGAGCTTTTAAAGTTGCGGTTATTTTTGGATGGATTCTCACTTCCTTGTTTTTGTAAGTGTCTAAAACTATTTAAAAAAATATTTAAAGAACTGATTAATGAGTTCGGAAATTTCAAACTCACTCAAAGGATCCTCTTCCTCTATATTACAAGTATTATTTGTAATTGAATATAATAATTCTTTTTCCTCGTCTCTCTCTTGCAAACGTTTTATCCTTGCTCTTTCTTCGCTGTTGGCTACTTGAGTGGATATTGAGAGAGCATTGTCTTCCATCAGTGGTTTGATATTTCTTCGCCCTGTATTTTTTTTACTTGAAGATTCATCGTCAGTAATTACGATGGGTTTCATAGGCGTTTTGTTCAATCTAGACACAGAATAAATTTGATTTTAACAAAGTTGTAATTTTTCTTTATTTCACTTTCGAAGAAAACAACCTAAAAAATATTTTTGTTGCTGTTGGATGTCTTCTAGTCCTAAGTACTTGTGTATTGTATGACTATTAGTCAAGGTGCAATACATTTTTGGTAGGTCAATGTTATTTTGGAAAAAAATCGTTTCCAAAAAACGACTTTGAGATATGTTTCATTATTTTTTGAAAAACGAGTTTATTGCTATTATGTATGTACAAATGTCGATGTCATTTTGGATAATATCAAATTTCCAAAAATTTTATTTTTTATTTATTATTTAAGAAAAAATAAATAAAAATCCCCTTTTGCTTGCTCATCTGAATAGAAATCGAAATCAAGAGAATTTCCAGCTTCGCAGCTGCGAGATTTTCAGAGCTGCATCTCATACAGTCTATCAAAATATCAGTTGACTAGAAAGAGGTTGAATAATCCGATGACACACAATTATTAACTCAAGAAGAACATCTGATACGTTAACTTAAGTAGGTGTCCTAACACTCTTGCCCCTTCAAAATTGTTTATAAGGACTTTAATAAATTATGAATTACTTACACTCTACAATCGTCTCCAGAATCTTCATCAGGTGTTTTCTGATATATTCTATCCATATCGTCACTATGTGCGTCATCCCAGTTAATATTAATCCTATTCAATAATAACATATTACAACAAATTATTATTTTTTTTCAATTTTCACACATACCGTTTTTTCTTGTTCTTCTTGGAATTTTCATCATCTGTGTCGGAGTCGCTCTCAAGCAAAGGATCATTCCTCCAGAGTCCCCGGCTTTTTCGTACCCCCACAAAGTCCTCTTCGTCGCTAGAATCCAAATCTTTAACCTCAGTATCTGTTTGAGCGTTTTCTATCTCACTGCCCGAACTGTTGACATCTTTTTTCTTTTTGTTCTTCTTGGTCAATATTTTCTTTTTAGTTTTTTCATTATCTGAACTATCATATTCATCGTCGCTATCATTTCTACTTTGTTCGTCGTCAGAACTATTAATAATTTTGTCTATTAAATAGGTGTGGAATATATCGTCGTTTGACTGGTCATCGTTCAATAACGGCACGTCATTGTCTGATAAATATGTATCAGAATCATATCTGACTGATAGAGAAGCATTGGATCCTGATAGAGAATCATTGGGTCCTGATAGAGAATCATTGGATTCTGATCGAGAGTCATTGGATTCTGATCGAGAATCATTGGATCGTGATCGACAAGAAGATGAGCTTGGAGATACAGTATGGTATCTTGCGAATCTCTTCCTTTGTACTTTTTTTTTAGCGAGATTTGCTATGTTGCAGAGCCTAATAAAATGGAACAAACAAATAACTAAAACCTGATAAAATCAAAAAAATATTACCTTTCTATTTCTGTTGAATCCTCCATGCAGCTTGAAAAATAAAACCAATTGAATGTGTGACATTTTTAGATTATTTTTTTAAAGATCAAATATGAACTTTATGGAAAAGTGGGTCAGGTTGAATTAACCCTATCAAACATTTTTGAGAGAGCTTTAAAAATGATATTTCATTATACATATTAAAACATAGAACACTTAAAATCATTTGTCAAAAATGTTAATATTAATTATCCAAATTACCTGTGAAATATACTTTCCATCATTAAAGTGATTAAAAACTTTCAGGATTTTTTTTGAATTGAAATCACAGTAAAGAGAAAGCGAATTTGGAGCTCCAAAATAAATTTAGAATACTTTTTCCATGTTGGCTTATGAAGAAATTTAAAAAATCCAGCAAATCGCTTGTGAAAAATACTTTCTATCAGGATAGTGACTTTAAACTTTCAGAATTTTCAAATTAAAGTTTTTTCTATAAATCGAATATGAATCGGAAGTGAATTTGAGGCAAGTAAATAGATTCAAGAATTTTTTCAAAGTTGAAGAAAATTGAAAAAATATAGCCTCAAAATTACTTGAAATAAATACATACTTCTCATCATCACCACAGCGACTTTAAACTTCCAGGATTTATGAATTAAATAAAGTATCTTCTATAAAGTAAAGTGGAGTTGGGACTTCAAAATAAATGTAGGAATTTTCTCCCATGTTTGAAGAAATATTAAAAATCCGCCAAATTACCTGGGGAAAAAAAATTCTTCGAGTTTCCATAGTTTTCATCACCACAGTAACTTTTAACTTTAAGGATTCATGGAATACATTAGAGTAACCCGGAAATGAATTTGGAGCTCCAAAATAAATTTCAGAAATTTTTCTCATGTCGATAATTCAAGAAAGTTGAAAAAATCCCCCAAAATTATCTGTGAATGAACTTCCAATTCTCACACTGAGTTCAAAGTTACAGGATTTGTAGATTAAAGTCTCTTCTATACTTTGTGGTTTAGGAATAAATGTAGGAATTTTTTTTTACAATGATAATTCAAGAAATTTAGAAAAAAATAGAAAATTCTACTTCTGCCAGGAAAACAAAAATAACCAAAATGTTAATCAAGAAGTCTGTTTTTATTAGTTAAAAATCGACACTCACCTGTCATCGTCCATTTTTTTAGCAGTTTTCTTTAGAACCTTATCAATATAAGGAGAAACATCAATTTGTTCTACATCAATATGAAGCTCCTTGTTTATGCCAAAGTCTTGTTTTAATATGTTAATTTTTTCCTTTTTTTTTGCCCGTCTTTCTTGATCAGAAAAGTCAATTTCCAAATCGTCTAAATCGATGTCGGTTGTTAAACTAGAATTATATCAGAAAAATGGAGTCAAATTTTAGGAAATAACTGTACAAGAACAATCAAAATGGTTTAAAACGAGTATCTATGATAATCAAAAATGAACTAGTTGAACCAAAAATTCAGGCTTGACTGATAAAAAAAGATGTGAATGGAATTCCACAGGGTTTTCTATATTTAAATTATACATGAACAAAGTTTGTATACATATAGTTGATCCAAAACTAAATCCGTTGCACGTCCTCAATAGACCTATCTTTTTTAACCTTGACTGCGCGCGCAACTCGTGGGTTGCAGGTGAGCTCGAGTGTTTCAAAATCTTGAAAGGAATACAACTTTTGTTACAAGCTTGCGCCATATTCTTATCCAGGGGCCAGTGTAATTTGACAAAGAGCAAACTAATACTTCTTTTGTCTGATTTAAGGCATTGTAAATCACTTGTTCTGAAAAAGTGATTGCTTTCATTTTATCTGATTCACTTGTGGGCCTTGTGGCTTCTTCTTTCGTCTCCGGTCAGTTCCCCTACTCCATCTTCTAAACTGAATAAAGTGAACGGATGTTTGCTGCCCCCTTTCCCCTCAAGGACAACCTCCGATGGCCAATCACTTCGTTCATTTACAAAGAATGTAAACGAAAAACAACTAAAGTGAAACTGAAGTCGTTGCTCAGTTAATTCAGTTTCACTTGTTCATTTCGTTCAAAACAAAAGAATATTACTGATTTTACCTTCAGTAATCCTTGGCACTCAATTTTTTTTTTTTTTCACAATAAAGTCAACTAAATTCAAATCCTACCTTGATGACGATAAAGAGTCGTCTTCACTATGCATGAGTTCGTAAAAAGTGTCCCAAACGAGGCTGTCATCTATTTCTTCATCGTCTGTTGGTTTTTTGCTGCCTTGTTGGGCGATCTCCTCCATTATAACGTCCAGGAAGACAGAGTTCGAGTCGGATCCTAGACATATACAGAGTTAATCAAGAGATATAAGTTTCGTGTAAGCCAACCATTATAATTTTGACGTTCTGTGATAATAAAATAAACAATAAAAGTCCATGCAGTTAAACCAAAAGTTGTGCTCTCCCTAATAAACTTTGTAATTGACTAGGTATTTTAAGCATTCTACAGACTTTAAATGTTTGTATCTTATTCTCCATGAAATTTTGACTTTCCAAGCAATAAAGTACCAACCGACACATACAAAAAAAAAAACTATCTGATTTAACAAATATTGGGCACAAACATAAAAGCACACCTGAGTCCAAATCGGGATTGCTGATATACCTTAATTCCATACCATCAAACTCCATTTTGGTTAATTCAATATCCGAGTCTACAATAAAATGATTAGTTCTGTTAAAGGCCATTGCAAAGTTGTTAGGAAAAAGCAACAAACTAGAGAAAAAGCTAAAAGCAAGATACAAATGTTAATTTATTACCTTGTCTATTGCTAATTGTCTGCACATAATCATTTAGGATTCCCAATAAGAAACCTCTATTTACCCCATTCGTATCTGTCCTTTGCCCGTCCTCTATTTGGTATTCTTGGTATGTTTCGCTAAGCAAGTCCAATAACTCGTCACGTTCCGCATTGTCTAGATTAAGTCTTTTGGGCGCTTCTTCAGGAGAGGAGTTTAGTACATCGCCCGCTGACAAAAGACGATCATCATGTACACTTCCTACAATATTGTTAAGCTTTGTTATTTATTTGTAAAAAAGTATTTCTAATGATTACCATCGTCGTTTTCTGAACTCTCCTCGTCTCCACCAGCGTTAATGACTCGGTCATACAAGTCTAACAGATTCCTTTCGGTAGATCCTAAATTCAATAATCGGTCTTGATTAGTTCTACCCTGCAGAGCATTTTGAGCTTTCTCTTTATCGTCCAGCATATTAAGCAAATCGGTTTTGTCTTCACTGAAGAAATCTGAAGGGATTTCAGGGATAGGCACATCAGCTGCTACAGACTCTTCTGGTCTAGACTCTTCTTCAGAGCTTTTATTTTTGTCTGGGGAATTTGGAAACTCAATCAAACTGTCTTGATCATCTAAATTAAATTCGATACTATGATTTGATGCTTCGCTGATTTTTCTTTTTTTGTTAGACATGGTATCATCAGAAGGTGTAATGGAATCGCCATCTTCATCTGGTGTTGTTGAAGGCCTAAGAATAAGATATATTAATATATACTATTTACTTGTTTATATTGATAAAAAAATAACTCTGCGCTACCTCTGTATGTTTTACCTAAATTATATATTTCGTTACATAAAAGAAGTAAACTTTACTTCTTGAAGATCATCTTTAAATTTGTAAATATAGCCTTAATGAATTGGAGAAAAGTGGAAGAGCAATTTGATTGTTAAGAAAATCAATCTTACACCAATTTAGGACAGTTTCTCTAGATGTTTTAATTAAAAAAACCCAATATGAATCATATTTTGAACAAATTTAGTTCATTTTATGGATACATAAATTTGTTCCAACTTGGGTTGTTTTATAGTTAAATGTACACTTTGAGATTATGATTGATAAATTTTGATTTTGATTTAAAAGAAGTAAAAATAAAAATTCACAGAAATTGTTGTTGAAATGTAATTTTACAGCTATTTATGACAGTTTCTCTTGATATTTGAATAGAAAATTTAAAAGGAAACACATTTGAAACAAATCTGATAATAGTAAAGAATGTGTTTATAATAAAATATCCTTAAAGCTACATTTTTAAACTTCAAGATGGTTCTTTAATTAGTCTAGTTTTGGATTCGACAAAATTAGAAGAATAACTATTTATTAATCAATCTACCACTGTGAAATTAATTGGCCAGATATCAACAATTTTAGCGCAACTAATTGTGTGATGTAGCGACATTTACAAAAAAAAAAAAAAACTCATCCCTAACTGCAAAAAATTTGCTGAAATATTTGTAGATTAAAATCTCACTTACCTATCCAGAACCTGTGTTGGAGCGTCAAAATCTACGTCACCATCATTATCCGCGGAAATTTTCTTTGACGGTTCAGAACCACTATCATCGGATGAACTCAAAAGCCGCTTTGTACCTCTAGCTGGCTCAGTACCATCAATATTCAAACTTGGAATTGGCACAGCGGCATCACTATCTTCAGTACTCGAACTTGGAAGTGGCACAGCGGCAGATTTTGTACCTCTAACTGGCTCAGTATCATCAATATTCAAGCTTGGAATTGGCACAGCGGCATCACTATCTTCAGTACTCGAAGTTGGAAGTGGCACAGCGGCAGATTTTGTACCTCTAACTGGCTCAGTATCATCAATATTCAAGCTTGGAATTGGCACAGCGGCATCACTATCTTCAGTACTTGAACTTGGAAACGGCACAGCGGCAGATTTTGTACCTCTAACTGGCTCAGTATCATCAATATTCAAGCTTGGAATTGGCACAGCGGCATCACTATCTTCAGTACTCGAACTTGGAAGTGGCACAGCGGCAGATTTTGTACCTCTAACTGGCTCAGTATCATCAATATTCAAGCTTGGAATTGGGACAGAGGCATCACTATCTTCAGTATTTGAACTTGGAAGTGGTATAGCGGCAGATTTTTTCTGGGTGAAAATATTTTCAGAATCACTGGATGTTGGTGGAAGAGGTTTTATAGTTTTCTTCTTGAACGGGCTGATCGCTTCTGAGTGATCAGCTTCGGCGGTGTCTGATATTTCAGTCTTATCAGAGTCTGTGTCTTCCAAGCGAGTTTTTTCAGGGGTTAGTTCTTCATTGTCTTTCTTGTTTATTGCATTGTCTGGCGAGGTTCTATTGTCAATATCGGAGCTTGAGCCGTTGGTTTGAATAGCAACTTTATCTTCTTTGCTAGTGCTTGCTTTTTGATCAGTTTTTTTTCGTCTCTTTCGTTTTTTCTTTGTTGAAGGTTTGTCTCCAGAATTTGAATCTTGTTCTTTGGTATCGCTGTTACTATTGGAATTTTTTCCTTGTTCCCTTTTCTTTCTGACAAATTCCGAGATTACTTTGAAAATGGCCATTTTGGCTTTATTGGAAATCTTTTGTCTTTTCTTTGATTGTCCCTGGACTAAAATAGATTAAGTATTTGAATAAAATAAATTTGACTCAACTAGTGCATTTATTTACCTTCATTCGAGGAATCAGAAGCCGAGATATCACCTAAAAAGTTGAATTTCAAATTAGAAAATTGCTATGTGACATAATTTGAAGTAAGTTGTAGTTAACCCTCTTGCCTACTTGTGGAATTTTTTGTTAGTGAACTACATTTTAGAGCTTAACCCCTAATTCATAATTTGAATTTATTTATTCATTCATGGGATAAGAAATTCACAATAGTTATGACCATAATTTGGAGAAATTTAAAAGAAAATAAGGCATTGTTATTCTACAGTATGTACAGTCGATATGCAATGGAATAATAACTACAATTTCATTTATATGAATAAGTGGATAGTAAGAATAGATTGATTTTATGAAAGTGAGGGGAAGTAGTTTGTTAGAAAGTTTTTTCATGTAATTTTTGTTCAATTTGAAATACATATTATCAGTAATTGCAAGCAATAAATTTCTACAAAAAAAAATAATTATTTTCAATTTTCAAATGTATTTTTTCCTGATTTTGGTTTAAAAACTTTTGAATGGCTATTTGTCCATTAGCTAAAAAGTCTTTAATCCCTGAATTAATTTCAAGTAATTGTTCAATCTGAATTATAAATTGGAGGTCATAAGGTGGGTAAAAAAGAAGAATTTTTGGGAAAGTACAAAATTTGGGATGAGGTTCAAGGAATATCTAGAAAATTCTATCCTCTGCATTGTCCTCAATGGCCACCGAGCAAAAGGGTTAAATTATTCTAGTAGTTGGACAATAGAGGCTTCTCTTAGATTGTAATACATGTACCTGCCAAAACTTTTTGGATTTTTTGCTTTTTTGCAGCCATACTTCTGGTTACAACATTTCTATCTTGAGGTTTGCAATACTTATTTAAACGACATACTGGGATTAGTCCGAAGTTTTTTAAAAATTCTATTTTTTCTACAAAGATTACATGCAAAATTAATATTAGGAAAATAAATCCAACTTTTGACCAAATAGTGGATTTGTTGTTGACTACAAGAAAAATGTTTTGGGACAAAAAGTTCAATACTTTAATACAGACATCTTCCTCAAAATTTGCTGGAAAAATTATATAAGTAGAGAAATAACCTATTTGCCTATGCATTTTTCTTGTAGTAGTTTGTTAATAAGAAAAAAACACCGAACTATCAGAAAACTTACCATCATTATTAACAGATTCTTGTCTCAACTCTTCTTCAATCAAAGCTCGGTCATCACTCTCAACATTTGGCAACGTTTTTGCAGCTTCAGTATCACTTTCAGCGGCTACCAATTTGTCTTGATCAGAAGCATCACTGGGCACATCTGTGGAGGCATCAAAATCGACATCAGAGTCCCTCTCGTCAGCACCAGATATGAGTTTTGTTTTGTCTTGATCAACAGAAACACTGGAAACTTGTGGACCAGTAGCAACAACCTCATCAGATTTTGCTTTGTTTTGATCATCAGAAACTTTTGTGGAGTTATCTGGAACTGCATCTGAGTCAACACAAGATGGAAGTGGTGTGTCGGCATCTTTGTCTTGATCAATAGCAACATCTGAAACTTGTTTGGTGGCTTCAACATCTACATCACCAGATGGTACTTTGTCTAGATTAGCAATGGCAACTTCTGTAACAGTTGTATCTAGATTCATGTCCTCTTCATTGGAAATGTTCTCTTCAGCACTGGACCCTTGTGAAATATGATCATAAGATATTAGTTCCTCTACATCAAAGTCGCTTTCACTGAATGGCATTGTCATATTTGGGTCTGGATTGTAACTCTCAATTGGAACAGAATTTGGAGATATATTTGTGTCTTGACTGTTTATTTCTTTGGGAAGGCTATCTAATATTTCTTGGCCATCTGAAATTTTAATAGTTGAGAAATCAAAAACAATAGATTGAAATATTGGGAATTGAAGGGAAATTGGAACTTTATTAGCATAAATTAAAACTTACCCCCTTCAATAGTATATTCAGCAGTAGATGTCTGTGAGAGATTTTCATCTAAAAATAGATTCCCATTTTTATAGTTTTGACTTAAATTAAATAACAATTCGCTCACCTAAATGAACACTGCTAATTTGAGATAGTTGCGGTTCATTTGTGATTGGAATCGGATTATCCTCATGATTAATTTTATGGCTGTTACATTGGGAAGGTTGTGGTTCATTTGTGATTGGAACTGGATTCTCTTCATGATTAATTTCAGGGCTGTTACATTGGGAGAGTTGTAATTCCTCTAACTGTTTATTTGTGATTGGAATTGGAATCTTTTCATGATTAGTTTCATGGCTGCTTTCCGAAAGTAGATCTTCTAGTTTTTTTATGGTAGTGTCGAACTCATCTTCTTCACCAAAATCTGATGATAGGAATTCCAATTCAATATATTATTACATTTTTCACACACAATTTATTTATGATTTCATCATTTGCAGAATATAAGATAGTTCCACAGTAAAAAAAATGAGGCAATATAATTTTACCTATTAAAAATGACTTTCTTTCAATATTGACTTGAATCACTACTTATTCTTTTTAAATTTATTTATTTATCAACAGGCTTTAAGTATTTTGGTGCATATTCAATGGTGAAGGCAGCTCAAGCTAATTCCTGGTTTTCAAGTTAAGAAAATGTTGAAATCTAATCTCACCCCAATATACAACAGTTTCTCTCAATATTTAAATAGAAAAAATTGACAATGAAAAAAAATATTCACAAATATAGACTATTTGGTTTCTTCAAGTAAAGAAGTAAATGTGATTATAAAATCTTACCTTTAATTCTGTTTTTGATAGCTCGAGCATGTTGAATATTAGAAGCATTAATTTCGCACAAAATAATGGCCAACTTGTGGCATAATTTCTGTTTGTCATGCGTCTTGTCGAAATCGGCTATACATTTGTCAGCTTCATTTTTCTGCCTCAACAAAAAATGTCTCACGTCCTGGGCCAAATTTTTAAGGACTAGAAGCAGTTCAATTTCCATTGGTTCCATGTTTCTATAATTAGTTTAAAACTGAAAAAAAAACAGATTTTAAACTGTAATTGAAAACTTTTTGTAATATTATTGTAATTGGCACGTTCCTATTTCTACATGAATCAGAATTATTTCAGTTTTATTTTCAGTTATTTTGATATCATGTAGGTAGAGAGCTAGTACACCATTTTTTTTTTGAAATCGTTTATTCATTCATAAGTATAACAATAATAACAATTATATCCATCTTTGTAATCTAAACAGTATTTAAAATACTGGTATCGACCATAATAAATCTAATATTTATGCAACAGTACTATTGTTATCTACTACACATTATATAACAATAATTATACTATAATAAAACATTTAAAAAGAAAAAAAGTATACATATATTTACCTATATAGTAAAACAGTACAATCACTAATCCATGCTTTACATATCCAAAAACAACCTAACCCTCTTTACAAATCTATTACCCCCAACAATATTTCTTATTTCTAAAGGAAGACTATTATACATAGAAGAGGCTTGATACAATGGATTCAAAATTCCCCTATTTGTTCTAACATGATTAAGGTAGATGTCCCTCTGAGATCGTGTATGGTGTGAATGTATATTGAATGCAAAGTTTATGTGTGTATTGGTTTTTTGTTTTTTATTTATGATTTTATGCATTAACTTGCATTGTTCTAATTTAAGTAGTTTGTCAATCTGACAGACACCCAATTCAGCATATAGATCTTCAGTGTGTGTTAATATATTATAGTTAAAGAGGACTTTAAGTACTTTGTTTTGAAGTGTTTGAACAGTTTTGAGGTTCATTACACCACAGTTTCCCCATATGGGGAGCAGATATCTAAAGTGAGATAGGAAATAAGAATTGTATACATTCATTTTGGTTTTATGAGTTAAATAGTCTCTATTTTTGTACAAAGCCCCAACCATTGGCACAATCTTGTCCGAAATATGATTTATATGTGCATTCCAGTTAAGTTTTTCGTCTATGATTAGGCCCAGATATTTTACCTTTTCTGCTTTGGCAATATTGATGTTGTTTATTTTTATCGAGGGGGCTCTGATTGTTCTGTTTTTTTGCTTAAATATCATATATTGAGTTTTTTCTGTATTTATTTTAAGTCTATTGCACATCAGCCAATTCATATACTTCTGTAAGTCTGTATTGACTGTAACTTCTAGGTTATGCTCATTTTCCAAACTATATAAAAGTACCGTATCATCGGCAAAGGCAAAATACCTAGCTTGTATTCCTGAGCACTGTAGACTCAGTACATACAATGAATAAAGAAGTGGCCCCAAGACCGAGCCTTGAGGTACCCCGCACTCAATATCTCCAGTATTACTAACATGTTCCCCCATTTTTACATATTGCTTCCCGTTCATTAAGTATGTTTTAATAAGGTTGTGCATTTTCCCTCTGATTCCTAACTTATACAATTTGCTCAATAGTATCTCAAAAGAAACAACATCGAATGCCTTTCTTAAATCTATGAAAACAGCTACAACTATTCTGTTCCTATCTATATCTGTTGCTATAGTATCCATCAAATCAAGAGTCGCACTCAAAGTATTACTATTACTAAGAAAACCATACTGATACATATCTACACTAACAAACCTATTAACAAAACTAAGCATTCTTTTTTTTATGATTTTTTCACAAATTTTTGATAGAGTACTTATAATGGTAATTGGCCGATAATTACTCATGCTATCTTTTGCTCCAGATTTATAAACCGGATTTATTTTACCCACCCTCAATTCTTCAGGAAATACCCCCAAATTAAGTGCATTATTTACAAGTTTAGTTATAATAGGAACTATATCAATTTCCAGGTTAATAATATCTCTCACGGTGATACTATCATGTCCAGGAGCTGAATTTTTTTTTAACTCTAAAATTACTTCAATAATCTCACTAGCATTTGTATTAGCAATGTAAATAGTGTTATCACAGTAAATTTCTGGGAAAATAGCTTCATTTTGTCTATCAGGTACTAGATTTATTATTTCATTATTTAGCTCTCGAACAATATTTTTGCCTATGTTAGTGAAATGTTCATTAATTTTATTTACTATGTCTTTTGAATCCGAAACTATTTTGCTATCAACTATAAGAGTCTCAATAAAGGTTTGTTTGTTCTTACCTTTTAGTAGATTGTTTATAAACTTCCACTCTTTTCTTACATCTCCACCAGCGCTTTCCCACTGTTCTCTAAAATGTCTGTTTTTCAGAGCTTTAATTTTGTTGTTGATTTTGTTTTTAAGTTTTTTAAAATCACTTTCAATTTGCACATCATTCCTGTTTGCAGATTTTTTTTTATAAAGGCTGTTTCTTTCAGTAATCATATCCATTAATTCCTTTGTTATCCATGTGTTGTTCTCTCGGACTCTCATTGTTTTAAGAAATTCACATTCTTTTTTACATAGGGAGATCAAGTCAATCAGCTTTTGGAATGTATTAACATCAGTCCCACCGCTTTTTTCTTTGAAGTGTCTTCTAAACCTATTATGATCTATGCCTTTGATTTCATATGTCATCTTTGGTTTATATTTTTTAACATCCTCTTGTAGAGAGATTAATATTTTATTATGGTCAGATATTGCGTTTCCTTCCACTTCTAGTTTGCAGTTTTTTTTGTAGGCCTGATTAGCTAACACATGATCAATCAGGCTGATAGTATTTGTTGTTACTCTGGTGGCACATTCTGAGCTGATTGTGTTTATTAATTTGTAGTTATTCAGCATAATTGTACTCATGTAATTTTTAGTAGCAGTGGAATCTTTGTCCAATATGTTTATGTTGGTGTCTCCCACTATAATGTGGTGTTTCGGATATTTTGCCATTATAGTTTCTATGTTATTCTCAAACTGCCGATACTCGTATGATGGTGGTCGGTAGATCAAACTAATTTTCAAACCATTATTATCTATTGAGGCACTGAGCCAGCTCATTTCATTATCGGGTTCAGACTTGAATAGTTCTTTGTAGTTAATACCTATTTTTATGTACATAGAGGCACCACCCCCTCTTTTGTTTCTACATGAATGTAGAGCTTCATACCCCTCAAGTTCATAAAGGTATGCTTCCTCTTCCATAAGCCACGTTTCAACCAACAAAAGAACATCACAACAGTTTTCACTAACCAGACATTGTACCTCATCGAATTTATTCCTTAGACTTTGTATGTTCATGTATACAATATTCAGCATAGGTTTTCCTTCACTTAGTTTTTTAAATCCTCTTCATTCTGTATTAGCAATATCTTGCTGTTATCCGTTTTCCTTAATAATATATTTCCCCTGTTTACCCACAGGTATCTGTAGTTGTTTTCCTTCTTTATTTTTTGTGCTTCCTTGAACAATTCTAGGTTCTTCTTGGTAAGATCATGATTCAGAAAAACCTTGTTTGCTTCCATAAATCCAAGATCTCTGGTGGTTAAATTTCTTCTTTCTGTAGACTTTAGCAATTGGTTTTTTTTTTCATAGTTTTGAAAAGATATTTTAATTGGATTGGTTTTTCCCTCTGGTTTTCCCAGTCTCACAACCCCAAATTCTTCACTTGTTAGAGTTGTCTGCAATTTTTTGCCAAGCTCCTTGACTATGTAATTAAGCTTCTCATCCTTTTTGTAAGGAATGCCATGAACTATAATGTTATTGTTTAAATCTTTTTGTTCATTCTTATTAAGTTGGGACTTTATGACTTGTAACTCCTTCTTTAAATCTTCATTTATTTTTACTTGCTCAGTATATTTTGTAAATAGGTTATTGTATTTTTGATCCATTTCGTTTAGTTTGATCATCACGTCAGCTAACGTGTACCGTACATTGCTCGGACTGCTCGGAGCAGTGGTTTGTTTGTGTTCCGTAGCATCATTTTTTCTAGGATTCTTGCACTGATTACAGAACCATTCTTCCTTGGATTTCGATATTCTTTGGTAGTTTTTTACACTTATCCCCAGACACTCTCTATGTTTCCACGTTAAGCATTTATCACATAGTAGCCCGTCTTCGCTGTCCATTACAACTTTGTTGCATATGTTACACTCATCGCTTTGGGATCCCATTTGGCAACGTTGTCCAAATATTTTGAAGGTATTTGTGGATTTGTGTAAACAAACACTTTGCAGTTACTGCTTATTTTGAAGAATTGATCGGTATTTCTTTGTTGCCTATATCACTGTTGTCGTGCCCGGCCAAAATATTTGAGTCCATCTTATATAAGTTTATATACAATTTTGTAAAAAACAAGATATCAGCCAGACAACATGGTTTCTTAAGTAAGCAATCTACAGCTAGTAATTTGTGTGAGATGACTCAGTATATTGCTGAGAGCCTTGATGGAAGATGCCAGGTCGACGTAATATACACAGATTTTGCCAAGGCTTTTGACAGAATATCGCATAGCATCCTTATACAAAAGCTGTGCAATGAGTTTGGTTTTCATGACAATCTGGTGGCTTTTTTTGAGTCATATTTATATAATAGACCACAGCGGGTTGTTGTCAGGGGTTACTACTCCGATTATTTTTGTGCAACTTCAGGTATCCCGCAGGGCTCCAACCTCGGACCATTGCTCTTTCTATTGTATATAAATAATTTGGTTGATGAAATTAGTGGTACAGAAGTATTATTGTTTGCAGATGACCTAAAACTATATTCAAGAGTTAACAACTACAATGACTGTCAGTATGTTCAGAAAAATTTGGACAAAATATGTCTATGGTCAATTAAAAATAAATTACAATTTACTATTGACAAATGTTTTGTGCTTAGTTTTAGTAGAAGAAAAACGCATTTTAACTATGAGTATACAATGAACAAGAGGGCACTGGCTAGGGTTGCAGAAATGCGGGATCTTGGAGTAATATTTGACACCCAGCTTACATTCAGAAGTCATATAAATGACATAACAAGTAGGGCATCTAAAATGTATGGATTTATTGTCAGAAATTGCAAAGAGCTCAATATATTGTGTGTTAAAACTCTGTATTTTTCATATGTGAGGACTATATTAGAATATTGTTCTATAATATGGAGCCCATGTTATGAGAATCATAAATATAGTATTGAAAAAATTCAAAATAAATTTTTGAGATATTTACACTACAAGGAAACAGGGCAAATGCATATACCAAAATTAGAAATCATGAAAGCTCATAATATACAAACGCTTGAAGGCAGGAGGAAATTTTCTACAATTATATTTCTTTATAAAATATTAAATAACATGATAAATGCTCCTTATTTGTTGAACCAAATTAAATTTTATGCTCCGACATATAGAACACGAAATCCTTTGAGCTTATATACTGATAATACTCGAACTAATTACTACAACAACTCGCCTGTTATTGTAATGTGTAAATTATACAACCAAATGCGCCTACAATTTGATATGTGGAATTTAAGTTCTGTAAGTAGGCTGAAATTAATACTTAATGATATATTTGTACAAATGTAGATTTTAATGTTAAGTTACTCTCTCGATGACTCTTTACTTTATATTTTTGCTTCCACTTAGGTTAGTCTTCTACCCTACTCTGTAACTGGATGTAAATCTGTAGAGTTTGTAATGAATAAATAAATAAATAAATGCATTTTCAGCGAACTTTCACTTCGAGTGGAGCAAACATTACCGTAAATTTCGGTAATAATGCGAACGTTCGCCCGGTAAAGTTCGCTTGTTACAACACTAGCAGGGATTTATGGAATATTATTGATTCATAAATCATCTCTCAGTGATCATATTATAATGACAAACTATAATTATAGGAATTTTAAACTATCACTGATTGACCATTGCAGCAGGGACCATAGATTACAAGTTCTCGCTATCCCTGGAAGCTTATGCTGCAGGCATGGGAATTTGGAGCGAGCTTTTGTGGACAACAATCGAGTGGTTGTCAAACGGAAGCAGCAGGTTGAAGGCAAAGAGTACTAAGTATTAAAAATTAAATCTCTCTGAAAAAAAGTCCAAAAGGATATACCATACCTAAGACTAAACCTAATATGGTCAATAAAATCTGGTATTCAAAATATTTGTTCAGTGCATAGTTTTTGAGAAATTACTTACCCAATTTATGGAAGTTCACTTTCCAAAAACTATGTACCTATTTGTCTAGATAATTTGCAACTTTTTTGTCCTTTATTGTTGAATTTGGTAATTTGAATTTTTAATACTCATGTCCTGCTCTACCTAACTACCAATAAACTTTGGAATTCAGGAATTTTACTGACCTATTTTATAGATGTGAGTTCCAATGAAATTTATTAAGTACTAAGCACCCCTCTAAAAAGTCAAGTAAAAAAATTTAAAAGGGATTTTAATAGATACATTTTTAACAATATTCACTAATTTCTAGTTGTATTTTGATAAATTTTTTGAAATCAGGAACAACCCAATGAGCTTTTTTTATGATGATAAATTGTTAATTTAAATACTGCAACAAAAATTACTCACCAACTTATCACTAAATTACCATACATATTTTACAATAAATCATTTTCACTCTCAAAATAAATTGTTAGAAAATTAACATGGAGGCACTAAACTAAACACAACCATTAACCAAGTCCCGCCGAGTTATATGGCAAATGTCAAAATTGTCAACTCAAATTACCAATGAACTCCGAGTAGTCAGCAGCTTTCTGACAGACTGTTCTAGAGTAGAGCTTGCGTTAACGATTTACACCCGAACGACACGCGACTCCGAACTATTCGGGCAAAAAAAATGCCTATGCTAGTGACTCTCCCTTTTTTCGACATCCTGTGAACCAGAACCCTTGAATAAAACCTATTGTTTCGTTCGCCGGAATGATTTAGAACTATTTCGGAACAATTCGCTTGCGCACAGCTTGATCACTAAATTTCGATTTTTTCTTTGGCTGAGTGTTCTTTTTTGCGTTGGGCTTATGACCACGTATGACGTTATGATAGCCATGCTCATACCGTTCCGCTTCGTGGAGTGCGAAGCCGAACCGATTGGTAGATCTAGTGCGGAACTAGTGCAATTTTTTCTATTTCTGTCTTTTTCTTCTACAAGTTGATTAAAAGGATGCAAATACACTCAATGCGCACTAAATATACCAATCGGAAACGCCATTTTAGTTAAGTTTGCGTTTGAACTTTAATTATTTAGTTCCTTATCGATTCTGTACCAGTTCTACTGGTTCTAGAGGGAGTTTACAAGAACCATGCGCTATTAGGTTTGTTCAAACACGTCAAAAACCGTCCTATTCGTTTCCAAATCACTCTGTCCGTGCGTTCGTTATTTTGGTCTGAGTTCTCCGAGCTTGACTTTACCGTTCGTTTATTCAAAAAGTGTACTCGGTGTATCCTCATTCGCGTTCGTTTATTAAAATTTCTGGCACTTTTATACAGCGTTCAACTGCTCTGTTCGCTCGCTGGTCACGTGGTTACGGCTCCGCTCTGCACGCTCTGCTCTTCGAGCAAAATACCGAACGCAAGGTGTATACATATTTGATAGCGAATTCTATTGGAAGAGTTAGCGAGGACTGAGTCTATCGTGTCTTTTTCTATCATTTTGCATAAGAAAGAGATAAAAATAAAAAATTTCTGCAATGGGCCACAGGGGCGGGATTCTCAATCGTTAAGTCGATACATTGCCGGAAGCTTTTGAACGAACTGCGTCACGAATCAAATACGACTCAGATTCTACCACTGATCTCAGCTGTATTGTATTTACCTCAATGCTATAGTTGTATTCCTTTCAAGCTTTGAAGAGCTTGAAACACTAGAGCTACTCGTTCCGGTGTGTCCGATTGGAAAGGAACAGATGCGCTGGCTTTAGTGGCTTTCATGCATTTAAATGGTTTGAGTCGGGCTTAAGCACTCAGGTGCAACAAACGCTTTTCGGAAAGAATAGGCGGGTTAAGCCTAGTACTCATAACTGCGAAATTCGCATTTTTTTGACATTGCGTTGATAATTTGACGTTTTATGCGTGTATCAAACGTCAAATTGTCGAAGCAATGTCAAAAAAATGCGAATTTCGCAGTTATGAGTACTAGGCCTAAGGCCGGAGTTTCATGCATCCGTTTTCCGACGAAATATGTCCGAAAAATGTTCTATTTTGACATATTTTTATACGATTATGTCAGAATAGAATGTTTTTCGGACATCTTTCGTCGGAAAAACGGATGCATGAAACTCCAGCTTAAAGCCTAGTACTCATAACTGCGAAATTCGCATTTTTTTGACAGTGCTTCGACAATTTGACGTTTGATACACGCATAAAACGTCAAATTGTCAACGCAATGTCAAAAAAATGCGAATTTCGCTGTTATGAGTACTAGGCTTAAGGCCGGAGTTTCATGCATCCGTTTTTCCGTCGAAATATGTCCGAAAAGTCTTCTATTTTGACATATTTATATACGATTATGTCAGAATAGAATGTTTTTCGGACATATTTCGTCGGAAAAACGGATGCATGAAAATCCACCGTAACGCCTCGGAGCTGTTCTGGAGCTTCTCCTAAAATAGGTGTGAAAGGAATACAACTAATTGCTACATTCGATTGACAAGATTGGATCGATCTCGATCTGGTTCAATTTAAGTGAACCAAATCGATTCTAGTTCGATTGTAGTTGGATCAGTTCACTTCAACCAACAAAAAAATGATCCAGATCTAGTAGATTACAAAAAGTAAAGTAAAAATATTGCCGCTTCTATATCAATGGGCGATTTAATGCAAGGATGATACACACACCTACTACAGGATTTCTTATCGGCGTCGTTTTTGGTAATCGCCACTATATTGGTGTGTCACCATTTCCGACGTCATAACTAAGTCGTCAGCTGTTTAAACAGCCTACGTCAAGGCGAGAAACAAAATGCTATATACGTCACAACTGGTGATTTGGCGTGGGGTGAAGAGAGGGACTTGTTCTACACAGAAGGATAGGCTATCTTGTACCGCCCACAAAACTGAAGAACATTTTCTAAGTTTAATGGCGAAATATTTCGTAGGCTTTTCTTGTCATGTATAACAGGAAAAGTTCACTTACGAAATATTTTGGCAAGAATTTCTTTGTGTAAAACGGCTCTCAAACTGCTCTGACTGCACTCCAACATCATAGCTGGATTCTTTTCAGGAGCTTGGGCGCCCCAGGGCGCCCTGGATCACGATTTTGAAATGTAAACAACCGTTTTTTTTAATCGGGGATCCCATAAGACAAACGTTCATAAAACCATCGAAGATGGCGGTATGCAAATGACGTCACGCAGTCCTTGATCGGTTTGTGTTTTATTATGACAGTGCACTTTCCTTGCATTTTCAAATGTGAAAAATTGTTATTTTGAGATTATTTCCTTTAAAAACTGTATTTTTTAATTAATTTATTAATTTTAAAATTAGCAGACTTCAAAAGTTTGTGTGCTTGAGGCTTGAGTGATTGGCTAATTAGGAAGACGAGTTTGTTTGCTTCTGCTTATCAGCAAGGTATTTCAAAATGCCCACATAAATATTATATTAAAATGTGCATGCATTTTTTCATAATCATATTCCAGAAACACACTGCAAGTTTCCTATATTTTCCATGAGTTTTCATAGTAAACGCGCCAGTAAAGGAATTTATTTACATATTCATTCATTTACTCTTCACAAACACTAATTTTTAGTAATTACATGCAAAGGAAACTTACAACTTAGTAGATATTTGATTTAAAAAAAAAGCAATACAAATGCCTCAGTGCGTCCGCGCAGACGCAAACGGATTCCCAACGGCGAGTTTATAAATTGAGCTTAACAGTAGAAAACTAGCAATACACACTAATAAAAGAAAGCGATGTCCTGATACAACAAATCCAGTATTTTAAAACCACTAAAACCAGAAAATGCTTGGGGTTTTCGCGAGTATTTTTAACCACGAGACTTTTATGCTTACGCACAATAAATGAAACTCTAAATTACACTTAACACTTGATAAATCTGAATTTACGATAAAATAAATAGCACAAACCCACAAACTGAACATCATTCGTATCAGCGGCCATCTTGAAAATCCGGGATGCACGTGACGTCACAGCAATTGTGAACAAATTTAGCCGATTGAGCAATCCTGTAGAGTTTACGATTCTTGGAGGACACCTCTTAATAATTGACGTTTTCAATTAAAAGAGATGGACAATAAAGTATGAAAACAATCAGTTTCCCGCCAACATTTGCTTGCTTGTCAATGCCAGTGTGTATTGGGTGTTTTGAAAGAAATTGTGGGAAAAGTTACTACTTCATTTGCAGAACTTCGCTATGGAGAAAGCGGTGAATTATTTTGGAAGCAAACAGCTCCCGCAAACTAAACTTGAACGTGGATTACTTTGTATACTTGATGGGCCGTGGATTCCCTTTTTTTTCCGAATATTCTTTCTGATTTTATGTATCCAAAATTTGACAAATGTAGGATTTGATGGAAACTTATGGATGGAAAGACACGTCCGCTGGTAAATAGGAATTATTTTTACAAAAAGGCACACTACACAATCACCATTGTTAGGAAAAAACTTCGAAAAAACCGAGGAAATAATAGTTTCTCGATTTTGATGTGAGAATGTCATTATTCCCGCACGCAAAATCGTTGAAGAATGAAGCTCATTCTTCAACGATTTTTAGTGGCATTTAGTTTTCATGGTTTTCAAAGTACATATACCTATTGGTACCTTCAAAATTGTCAAACCTTCTAAAATGATAGAATCCACCTGTCAGTTGGTTGGTAAGTAAGTGTCACCAACTGACATATTTTGAAAATAAAAAATCCCCAACTAACAGCGTTCACAAAATTTTTTAAAAAAATTGAAAATAAAATCCAAAATCGAGAAAATAGTATAAAACACACGTTGCAGAAGGCTATTCTCGCACTCATTCGTTCGTCCACTCGCTCCTTCGTCGCTCGTGGCCAAATTTCGAATTCGTGCGGGAATATGTGGCCTTCTGCAACTTGTATTTTAATATACTATTCCAGTTTCCAAATGTACAAAAGTCTTGTCAACAAACCACTGTCAGCGGCTGTCAACTGTTGTTTTCATAGCTTATGTTCCGATATCAACTGTCAGTACTGAATTCACTGGACACCGTTCCGATATCATTTTCAGTACACTGAATTCAGTCGATTCAGTACTGAATGGCCACAAGAGTATACGCTGTTGAAATCGGAACGGCAAATGACAGTAAAATCAGCACAAAAAAATCCAGTACCTACTGGCAGTTGATATCGGAACATAGCCATACTCTTTTGGCGTCTGACAGTTTGACGCCAGAGAGAGAAGCTTTTAAATTGAAAAGGTCAATTACTCTATTACTCTATAAGCGGTAAAATACATGTAATACAAATTACAAAAACAATATTGCGAATGCACGCAAACGATCCAAACCCCGATTTGGAAGGAAGCACTGGCTTTCGTGCATTTAAATGGTTTAGTTCGGGCTTGAGCACTTCAGGTGCAACAAACACTTTTCGAAAGGAATAAGCGCGTAACACGGAGAATACGCCTTCTAGAAGTGCTTATCGACCTTGTTTTCGGTAATCGCTACCATATTGGTGTGCCACCATTGCCGACGTCATAACTTAGTCGTCAGCTGTTTAAACAGGCTCAGCCTACGTCAAGACGAGAAATAACATGCTGCTTGCTCGGAGCTGTCATCGACACCCCAAAAGTAGCCAAGGATGATACCCACTACTATTACATCATAGCTGCTTTCCAATGCCTAAATTGTTAGAGTATTATGCCCCTGAAGTGTGATGTTCTTGAACTGTTCGACATAAGCAGCACTGGAACGCTTTCGTCTTAACCCCCAAAATTTTGGACTCAGGAGCATGGAACACCGAAATAAAGGTTGGTGCACGAAGGGGCAGGGGATAACAGAAATGAGTAGTTCAAGTGTACGACACTCTAACCACTGGAACCGCGCAAAGTAATTGAGGAGCACTCCTGAGCTGCTCAGGAGTAACTCAAATGGGTCACTGGAAAGCACCTCATAAGGCCTGTGTGGAACAAATCCCCCCTTCACCCCCCCAAACACGCCAAATCAACAGTTGTGACGTAGATAGCATGTTGTTTCTCGCCTTGACGTAGGGTGTTTAAACAGCTGTCGACTCAGTTATGACGTCAGAAATGGTGACACACAAATATGGCGGCGATTACCAAAGGGTGTGTATCATCCTTGAAAAGTAGCAACCGAAAAATGTCAAATCAAAAGTCATGAATGTCAAGTCAGGCAAGGGAAGGGAGTGTTTTTCTCTGGCTCTTTAAAATTTAAATATAGCTTCGCTAATAATTCATTAAAAGCAAAAAAGCAATTTATTTAACTCAGCAAGAGATTAATTACTTTATAAAATGAAGTATTTTCGCTATAAAACTGATTTTGAGGTCCTGTTACCGCAGATTTGGATCTAAGATGCGCGGTCATTTACCTCAATCACTGTAAACATTGATCTGTTTAATCACCTATAAATCCATAAAAATGAAAGAATAATATATACCTCTTTATTGGCTTAATTTTGAGCTGCTACCGGGTCAAAGAGTCAAAGGAGTCCTAGGTCAAAATGCAAAAGAAAGATGAAGGATTTGACCAGAAGAAGATGGATCTTGAGGTATCAAATCTTGTCCTTTAAATTTGTAGCAGAATATTCATAATACATAAACCTACGTTTCCCAGTGCATTTCAAATCACTTTCGTAGAAACTTTAAAAAATTTCCTTGTCGATTTCCAGGTCTATCTTCAAAGAATGGAATCAAGGATTGGCAGTATGGCCCCAGTAGGTCACACAGCGGACGTATTGGAACATCAGCTTAGAGAGCAAAAAAGTTTGCATGCTGAACTGCACCAATTCAAAGCACAAATTGAACCTTTTCAACAATTAACGCAAAGACTGATCACTGCACATCAGCATGAAGATACTAATAGATTTAAAAAGGTATGCTTTCGATACATTTACAAATAGACTAATCCTCTAAATTTGAGAAAAAAAAAAATTTTGCTTGCTCACCTTGATAATAATCAGAGTAAGAAGACTTTCAACTCAACTTTAAATCCTTGTAGCTAAATTATTGAAGCTGCATTGAAGTTATTTGTTAGAGATTTGTAGAGTATTCAATTGCCCTTAAGTTCAGCCTGAAAAGATCAAGATCAGATTAGAATTAACAAAGTTATAAGCCAAAATGTGTGTTGATGTAATTTTAGAAAAAATCTAATTTTCAAAAAGAAAAAAAAAATTCTCAACTTTAATTTTTTCCTACCTGAATTTTGGGAGAGACATTCTCTTGATCTAAGATAGATTCCAAGCCTTGGGGGGGGATCGAATACTGGAGTGATATAAAAAATAGCTTCAATGTATCCCCACTCCTCATGAAAAAAAGTCTACAGGAGTTAAGTCAGGAGACCTTGGCCACCTTACAGGTCCATTGGTAGATATAACAATCCCATGGTGCCCATTTGCAGCAAATGTTGTAAAAGGTTTACACATAATCCTAATCATATCGGTTCTTTTAAGAGCCACATCATTTGCATTCAAAAATAAAGATTTTTCTCAAGTTGTTGGGTTATTTTTCAGTTTATATCAAAAAATAGGGCAAAAATTAATGAAGCACGGTGAACTGAAATTCTGGCGTTCAAGTGGGAAATAATTGAAGTTGCAAACTTTCCTAATAACTGGAACATCCAACTAATGAATTTACATCAGTGGCATCGTTGAATTTTTTTTTTTCCTAAAAATTCATTTTTTTGTTAGAAATCTCTCAAATATGGTTCTGTTACGCGTAAAATGATCTGCTGATGCCAAAAAAAATTGAAAAATACTGGGTGTCCCATTTGAAAATCAAAAGTTATGGACTGGCAACGCAATTTGATTTCATAAAGTTGCCCCATTTAAGCTCCTCAAATTTCTAATTTCCAACTTATACATTAAAAAAGTTATAGGTTGTGTACTATTCCTTGTATCATGTGTCACCCTGAATAAATAATGTGTTAATACATGGTATTACAAAATGTTGTATACCTGCTTTTTACTCAGAAAACTTTTATTTGCTTATACGAAATGTCACTGACTTTCACTCACTAAGAAGAAAATTAAGGTGAGTTTTTTTTTTTCAGCCAGCTGAGTACATAAACCAACACTACCTTCGGTTGGACGCATGCATAGTAAATCGCGGCAAGCTCCTTCACTCCGCTCTAAGTTCTCTACAAAACTTCGACAGATCTCTGGATAAATTCCTGGCATGGTTAAGCGAAGTAGAATCAGTTGTTGAAAATTTGGAAGGCGATACGGAATCTAGGCGAGCAGCCCATCAGCTGAAAGAAATCCAGGCAGATATAGAAAGACAAGCATCGACACACGCCGCCTTGAGATCATCCAATTTGGCTTTATTGGGAAGTTTAACACCTGAAGATGCTCTTATGGTACAACTTAGAGGTGATGAAATGGAACGACGATGGCAGGTACATGCTAAAATTTTCTGATGTTTGTAATGGAAAATCAGAATTGATGTAGTTTAATTTATTTAATAAAAACAAAATATACAGTGTGTCCACTTAAGTTCGCAGCATATGGGAAACTTTTTTATTATTAATTTTACGAAAAAATGTTATTCTTTATAAAAGTTTCTGCTTCTCGAAAAAATAATATTAAACTACTAAAACTTGGAATAGCATGTACAGGGTGGTCAAAAAATAGAAAAATATACAGAATTTTTTGATAAAAAACGGTAAAAGTAAAAAAAAAATGGCATGTCACTATTTTTTAAAACCTTTGATATTTTTTTCAGATTCAGCAAGTCATATTACAGTCAAAAGATACCCTTCATTATTACAAACAGACCTGCCAAATTTGGAAAAAAAATGGAAAATGGATTTTTGAGCTAAAAAAAAACGATTTTTTCTAAAACTTTGACACCCTGTATCTCAGAAACCATGCACTTCCGGACACATGTTTATGGGAACTTTTTTTCTTAAAATATTGTAAGGAATCACATCCTGAAGTTATGAACCGTACTCAGGAAACACCCTGTATATTTTTCTATTTTTTGACCACCCTGTACATACTATTTCAAGTTTTAGTAGTTGAATATTATTTTTTCGACAAGCACAAACTTTTATAAGAAATAACTTTTTTTCGTAAAATTGATAAATAAAAAGTTTCCCATATGCTGCGAACTTAAGTGGACACACTGTATAATCTTAAATTTTTATATTATATGTATCATATTCATTGGAGCTTTGGCTAAACACTTGTGTTTTCCAAAAAATCATATTATTTGCTACATAAACATATTTATTGAAATGTTGTGTCAGGCTCTCAAAACTCGAACTTCAGATTTGAGAAATCGTCTGGAACACAATGTGGATTATTGGAACACTGTTCTATTGTCTTTACGTGAACTTACTGAATGGGTTATTAGGAAAGATACGGAACTAGGGCTGGCGGCAAGACAAGATGATCATAGGGCTTTTAGGTGAATTTTTTATTTTTTTTGTTACAAATTGCATTTATTTTATGTCGCTTCAATTAGGCAACAACTCGAAGATAAACGGCCTTTAGTGGAGGCCAGCCTGAGGAGTGCCCGACAATTTGTTGCTGGTGATCCTTCAGGCGAACTAGCTCGAAATTTGAGGAGGGAATTGGTGAAATTGTCTGATAAATGGAATGCTTTGATTGAGAAATCTGACAAACTGGCAGCCAAATTTGAACAAAACGCTGTTGTAAGTAACATCCTCAGCATTATCAAAAGTTGTATAATTGTGTGAAAATTACATATAATTTGATTTCATCCAAAGTTCATTATTCCTTCTTATTTTAGAAACTAAAACAACTCACTCTTAGTCTGGACGAGGCATGTGCCGCAGTGTCCCGTCTAGAAAGAGCCACATTGACGTGGGCGGGTCCAAGAAGTGCCGCAGAAGCAAGAGAACTACTTAATAACTTGAGGATGTTGGAGCAACAATTGCCTCCGCTACAAAGATCCCTAGAGGAAGCTCGAATCCAGGCGAGTAGTATGGGAAATTATTTGCCCAACAATTTAGCTGGACAGTTGGAAGATTGTGCTGCTAGGTGTAGGGCTTTACATGCCGCCATCAGGGAAAGGAGAGATGTTTTGACTAGTAGTTCTCAAGGTAAGAATTGTGACTTGCTTCTTATTATTCGCCTCTAAAATACTTTCCGTTATATGTTTGGATTTCTCCATAGAATGGAGAGTTCTGTAGTAGTAAATAAATTTTGAATATTCAAATTGTTTTATTTTTTTATTTTCTCATATTCTATTTGTTTTATACACTGAAAAAGGAAGTTTTATTATTTATATGCAACTTTTGGCTTATTTATTTTACAAATTTTGCTTTTTCTTCTGAATTTTTCTAAATAAGGAAAGTTCAAGAGCTTGGAATTAAAAAAAAAAACAATTTTATCTCTGTCATTTATTCGTAAATTTCCTCACACTATTAGGATGTATCACCCAAAATATTTTGATTGTCAGTCAGGGCAAAGTTGTATGTATTATTGTAATTTCAGGTGAGATTTCTCCAGGCCCTCCCAGCGTTCAGCCACCCTACGAACGAGCCACTACACCTAATAAAGTCCCCTACTATATTAATCACAGCACAGAAACAACGCACTGGGATCATCCGCACATGTTAGAATTAGCCGTCTGTTTACTACAATTGAACGAGGTGCGATTTTCCGCCTACAGAACGGCCCTAAAGTTAAGGGCCATTCAAAAGAAACTTTGTTTGGATTTAGTCAATTTAAGTACAGTGTCGGAGGCGTTCGATTTGCATGGATTGAGAGCACAAAATGATAAGATATTAGGTGAGAACAGTAAATTTTTAATTATTAATGACTGTAATTTTAGGCTAGTTTTTTTAATAAGGTACTAGGATATTTTTGGATATAAGAGTAATTTTTCTGGATATAATAAAATATTGTAATAAAGTCTCTAGGCTAGTATATAGTTTTTAAACAAACGCACTCCATATTAGAAATCTCAATTATATGCTGCTGCTGATTTACTTCTATAGTTGCTGTCTACATTTAAATAATTTTCGTTTTTAGATGTAGCAGACATGATATTAGTTTTAAGAGCAATTTACACTAATCTAGCAGCACAAGATTCAAATTTGATCGACGTTCCGCTTTGTGTAGATATGGCACTGAATTGGTTGTTAAATGTTTATGATAGTCAACGCACAGGACAACTTAGAGTACTTAGTTTTAAGGTGAGACACTCAATAATTTTTCTCCAAAATGCTAGATTTGAAAATTTCAGGTCGGATTGACAATCCTTTCAAAAGGACATCTGGAAGACAAATACAGATACCTTTTTCGTTTGATAGCGGATCCTCAACAAAAAGCTGATCAAAGAAAATTGGGTTTGTTGCTTCATGACGTTTTGCAAGTGCCCAGACAGCTGGGCGAAGTGGCGGCATTTGGTGGCTCGAATATTGAGCCGAGTGTGAGAAGTTGCCTGGGCGAACGTGACGACTTAGAGGCAGCTCATTTTCTAGCTTGGCTAAAACAAGAGCCTCAGTCGCTCGTCTGGCTCCCAGTACTTCATCGCATAGCCGCCGGTGAAAATGCCAAACATCAAGCCAAATGCAACTCTTGCAAACAATTCCCGATAATCGGACTGCGATATCGTTGTCTGAAATGTTTCAATTTCGATATGTGCCAGAATTGCTTTTTCTCAGGTAAATTGACTAAAGGGCACAAATTGACTCATCCGATGCACGAGTATTGTGCTGCTACTACTTCTATTGAAGATGTGAGAGATTTTACAAAGGCTTTGAAAAATAAGTTTAAAAGCAAGAGGTATTTTATTAAGCATCCAAGAGTGGGGTATTTGCCGGTGAGATCGGTATTAGAAGGAGATGAATTGGAAAGTCCCGTGGCTTCGCCTCAGCACAACGATATGCATTCAAGGTAAGCACATTTAAGCATTTGAAAATTTACTTTGAAGGAAAATGTAAGCAAAAAGTAAAGGATTCAACTCACTCCCAATGTTGCCTTGAATTCCTCCAACAAGGTCTGACTATGTTTACTTACTGTTTGTTTCACTAGGGTTTGTACTTTTGCCTTCCTTTTTTAACAAATAAAAATCGACTGAAATAAATTGATGACGTCAAATTGAAATCTCCACATAAAATCATTTCTCAATAGCTACTTTTTTAATTTAGATAAGAATCTGTAATTTTCAAGTTAATTAAATTAAAAATAAATATCCATAATTCAAAAAATTACTACTTCTTCTTGTAGACTGGAAATCTACGCATCACGTCTAGCCGAAGTAGAACTAAGAGCAGCATCGCCAGACGACGAACACAGACTCATCGCTGACTACTGTCACTCGTTGGAGGGCGCTCCGGCCAGTCCCGGCCAACTGATGCTTGTCATTGACGAAGAACAACGAGCCGAACTACAGGAGATGATTCGGGAACTGGAAGTGGAGAATCAAGCTTTGAGATCCGAGTACGAACAACTACAGGTAAGGAACAATCCAGTATCAGAATGTTTTACATTATGTTCATTTACAGAGGGGCGCAGCACCGTCACATCAGCCCCAACAGCCGCATCACGATGTTCTAGCCGAGGCCAGACTACTGAGACAGCACAAAGGGCGCTTAGAAGCGAGAATGCAAATTTTGGAAGATCACAACAGACAGCTGGAAGCTCAGTTGCAACGATTGAGGCAGCTTTTGGACGAAACACCCACTGCAACGTTGCAAACTAGAAGCGTGACTGCTTCGCAATTGAATCAGGATATTCCAGGACCAGGAAGGGTCAATCAACCACCGCCACCCTCAGAAATGCGTTAATATTTCATTATCTGATTGAAGGTGAAATTAAAACATATTTGGTTTTTTTGGAATATGGGTGAACAATTATTATTGTTTTGACTGACTAATCAATATCAGTTTTTGGTAATTTTTATGAATGGGAGTATTCAAAAATGGTTAATTCAACTACAAAATTTTTTTATGAAGAGAATTTGAGCTCCTAAAAAGTCGCTCCAAGTTAATGTCATTAAACTACCAAAATAACAGCATCAAGTTAGTCAAAATAATTCGCTCACCTATAAAACAATAACTTTGTCGCAGTATTAACGAGATTCTATTTGACTGAGCCAGTTGATATTTTTGATTATTATAGACAAAGTTTGTTGGTAACTAAAATGTTCCAGATAAAATAAAAACGACATGGTTTTGAATTTTGGGAAGTGACACTGCCATTTTTTTTTTTTGAATCAAGCAAGGTGTAGACATTTTTGGTAACTAGCTGCCTAGCAATTATATCCAGTTTTTCAATATGCATACATGAAATATAAAATTTAAGGACTTGGGACAAAAATGACATGAAAAAAGAAACAGTATTATATAGATGGCTTTTGTTGTTGAAAATATTTGTCAGGAAATCAATAAATATTTAATTTGTGAAATGCTTAATAAATTGTAGTTAATCTATCACTGTCAAAGTTAAAAATAAAAAAATTGTGCGTCCCATTCCGTTTTACCCATGTTTTGATAACTAAATGTACATTTACATTTGTCCGCGCTTTATGCTAAGTACAAAGTAGGATTTTAATGATTTTTATAATCAGGATTGGATCAGGTATATGAGTTTGTTTCAATAAGGATCGAAAAATCTGGTTCTTATTGAAACATTATTATTTAATTGGTGTTTGCCTTGATTTAAATAATTTCGATCTGATCCTATAAAAGTAAAATATTTGATCAATTGTAACCCAACCATATCGTTTCTGACATCTCAATAATTTTAGCAAGCTATAAGGATATTATATATTTATTTCGTTTACATTTGCTATGTTATAATGAATGCGTAATTATTGAACTCGTAATAAAATAGGAGTTATTTGAGTTTTTGTTTTTCTTGTTTCATTTTATTTTAATCCTTGTACCTACTTCTTTAGACAAATTATTGTTTTTTGCGCCCAGCTTATATTTCAAATATAATGAGCTACTTTATATTTAAAAAATATAGGGATTTTTTTAGCAACTAACCGTTTGTAACCGTCTTACAAGCGGTTACTAAAAATACATGTATTTTCAGTAACCGTTAAAACAGTTAGTTGCTAAAAAATCCTTTATATATTGTTATAGGAAATATTTTATTTTATGTATATTAATTACTCAGACTTTATTTGTTCTGCTTTATTTTAGTACAACAAAAAAAGTCTGAATTCTGACTCAATGAAATTTTTCTGATGTGAAATTGTGATTGGTTCACTGCACTGGATTGGCTGCATTTTCTTTAGTTGTTTTTGGCTGAGTTCGACTTTACACTGTGTAAACTCTGAGCGCGCACGAAACGATAAGATTCTGTTTGTTTTAGCCCTCAAGTATTCTCTTTTGCCTCTATGACGTCACGATATCCATGCTCATACCGTTCCGCTCCGTGGAGTGCAAAGTTCATTGGTGTTGACAGAGTTTTGGTGTATTTAAGAACAATTCTGGGATTATTCTAGAACGGTTCTCTCAGTTCTTGCTCTTGGTTCCGAATAGGTTCAGAACTAGTACTAGAACAACTATTATTAATTATAAGGACTTAGCTTTATGCTAGATCATATCCTGTTCACAATCCGATGTCCACAGGTGCAGGTAAATTTATCACCTTTCCCCATCAAATAGTATTAAAAGGTGATTTTACCTGTACCTACCTGTGAACGGATAATAGAAAGTTCTCGTGCCTCAGACGCTACGCTAATACGGTACCGCTAACAATACGGTATTTTACATGGTATTTTATAGTTCTCGGACATGAAGACACAGAAATCCTGTAATCCCTTATTCTGTTTACATTTCGACAGCTAACCCACCTTTTTTTCTGCTTGTTTTCTAACTTTTATTTATCCTAATGATTCTTGAATTTCATTAATTGGTGTTTTTTATGAAGGAATTATTAGAAGTTGCTGTTTTTGCAGACGTAAATGGAAAAAATGCAACGTAAACTAATTTTGACATAGCATAGCGTTACGGTAAGGCATCCGCTAAGTCCCGTTAGGTAGCGGCCTCCGCTAACGCTAATACGGTAAGAACTGTCATACTTGTCAAATAGCGTTACGGTATTTGGAATTTGGACAGCACGAGAACTCTCTAATATGTGATGTGTCATACTCCCCTAATTCCCTCACCATCAAATTCTGGGATACTCGAAGATCAAGAACACTTAATTTTAAGCTGTTGATAGTGACGTCACTCGCAGGCCCAGTATTTGATGAAGAGGCAGTTGGAGAGTATGACTTCGATTTCTCGATTTGTTTTACACGGTACTTCCGGAGATGTCGTGTTCGATATCGAGTGCCATAACAGACAATTCGATATGACTCGTGAAATAGAATCCGGCAGCAGATTATGCTTGATTAGCCTCGCGAAAAATTGCCTTTCGTTTGGCGTACTTACTTTGCTTACACTAAAAATCCATACCCGAACAGTTGGAGCGCGTACCAAGTACTTTAGGAAGCAGGGCCGAGTTCAGAAATAACGCACAGGGTGCGAGTGCGATTTTATGGGTGTGCCTGATAGCACCGTCTAGCATTTTTGAACCGCTAGGACGTCGCACCGGTGTCACACTCACACTGGGTGTGTCATTCCTGAACTCGCCCCAGTGCTTTCAGCAAACAAAACGAACTTTTGGAGTGAGTTCGATTAACTACTCCATATACCCGAATGGGATCGTAGTTACTCCATTTACACTAAAAATATAGGTATGCCCGGACTAATCAAAAATCCAATTTCAAATAAAAATTGTACAGTATACTCACCTTGCGTTCGGTATTTTGCTCAAAGAGCAGAGCGTGCTGAGCGGAACCGTAATCACGTGACCAGTGAGCGAACAAAGCAGTTGAACGCTGTATAAAAGTGCCAGAAATTTTAATAAACGAACGCGAATGAGGCTGCACCGAGTACACTTTTTAAATAAACAAACGGTAAAGTCAAGCTCGGAGAACTCGGACCAAAATAACGAACGCACGGTCATTTGGTTAAGTGGTTGTTGACTCGTACTGCGTCCACCGAGAATTCTAGCTATTATTAGAAAAAAAATTAAGCTGAACGGAAAGGGTGACAATTCCGAGTCGTTCCGTTCGGGAATACCTCGAAGGACCAAGAATAATACACACTTTTTATACTACAGGATATCTTATCTTCATAAGGCCTGTGTAGATCAACTCCCAAGCCCCCACTACCCCAAAGAACCAGCGATGACGTAGAAGCGTGCGTACTTGACTTTAGTACATTACCACAACCCGCTTTTTTAGATCTCGTTTGTATCGGGTCTTCAAAAAAAAAACCAATCAAAGATTGCTATGGTTTTTTAAACGTATGTCTTAGCAATATTCTCCTTCAATTTTGTCAATGAACTTTAATGTCAAAATCTCGGTCAAAATGTCATGTCAAAAATCCTGACCAATAAACAAACAATAATTCGACGTACGTTTTCGGAATCAAAGCAACCTTCGATTGGTTTTTTTTTTGAAGACCCGATATCTTTCTGTCTGCCTTTCCTTTATGTTAATAAAAATCAAATATTATTTTTCATCAGAAAAATATATTCTGAACTACGACCGCTGGCGCAAACAGCTGACGACGTAGTTGAAGACGACGTCAATGGTGCTACATAATTTGTATTCCTTTCACACCTAGGAGGAGCTCCGGGGCTTCACGCACTTATTCCTTTCGAAAAGTGTTTGTTGCACCACGCATATGTTCCCTGCAAATCGGGGGCGACTAAGCACCGAAGCGAGTAGCTCGAGTATTTCAAGCTCTTGAAAGGAATACAACTATTAGCAGCGATTCCCAAAAACGTGGCCGATAAGCAATCCTGTGTAGTAGTAGTATGTATTATCCTTGAAATAGACGAGCAATTGACATTGTTGACGTTTGACGACATTGACGCGTGTATCATTTTTTTTTTATTGGTTTTTCAGATTTTTCTGTGGACACCATTTTCATGTTGAGTTGAACCTTTTTTTCTAAAATATCAGTTTTCAATTACTTCATAATATATATTAACATATTTTGTGTAGTGTGGCTGAGAAAAATATAATTTTCATGAATTTTATGTTGTAAGTTTGTTATACCCATACAACAAAACAAACAATTATGGATCTATCAAGTATTCTACCAAACCCAGTGCAACCCATCTGGGACAGGGACGATGAAAGGAAGAAAAGAGCCTCCTTAAAACCCAGTACTGCCATTGTTTCAGCTCAGGCTATCGCGCCCCCTTATGGGCAGCGCAGGGGCTGGGTGCCCCGTCACGTTCCAGACTATGGAGATGGTGGAGCTTTTCCTGAAATCCACGTCGCTCAATTTCCCCTGGAAATGGGCCGTAGAAAGGATTCCGCCTCTAATGCCTTAGCAGTCCAGCTGGACGCTGATGGCAAAGTTAAATATGACGTCCTTGCCAGACAAGGACATGGAAAAGACAAAATTGTTTATTCTAAACTCTCGGATCTTTTACCTGTTGAAGTTGTAGCGGAAAACGATCCTTCCCTTGAAAAACCTTCACAAGAAGAATTGGACGACAACACGGAAAGGACCAGACAGGAATTGATGAAAATTACAAATTCCAAAATTGCTGCGGCTATGCCTGTCCGAGCAGCGGACAAATTGGGACCTGCACAGTTTATACGTTATACACCGTCTCAGCAAGGGGCTGCTTTTAATTCTGGTGCCAAACAAAGGGTTATAAGGCTTGTGGAGGCTCAAGTGGATCCTATGGAACCCCCCAAATTTAAAATTAATAAAAAAATTCCAAGAGGTAAGTGATTTTTCAATTATTTGAAAGTGGTTGAATTAGACCAAAATTTGCTAGTAAAAAATCTGGTTTCTTTATTCAGGTCCATATTTAAAAATAAGAAGTTGATGATGAACCTAATAGTTGAAACGTGGGAATTAAAATCTAGTAGCATCATTTTATAGCTTGTGCTTTTTTTTCTTTGTAGCTCTTCTCAAATAAGGTGAATTAAAACTGAATACCAAAAATCATAATTTTGGTTGTTACAAGTTTTAGATTTATATACATACATATTTGTTCCATTAAATGCCAAAGTACCTATATTGAATTATTAGTAAATGGTAGAAAAAAAGGTGGCATCCATGCTAACAGCATGTTGCAGTTGCATTCATGGCATAATTTGCTATATTCCTGGAAAGTGAAAAAGGCCCATTATTTCATAATAAAATTACTTCATCAATTGCGTTTTGAAGTACCTAATGTTTTAAAATTTTATATTTAATTGGCTTTAATTTTAGCCTAATTACATTAAAATTATTAAAGTTGTGAAGCTAAAGTGGATGCAAAATTGAAAATTCAAAAAATGATTTCTGCAGTAAAATATGTAGGTATTTTTAACTATTGATTTTTTTTTTCTAGGACCTCCATCGCCCCCTGCCCCAGTACTGCACAGTCCCACCAGAAGAGTCACGGTCAAAGAACAAAAAGAATGGAAAATTCCTCCGTGCATATCAAACTGGAAAAACGCAAAAGGTTACACTGTGCCTTTGGACAAACGATTGGCGGCTGACGGGCGAGGTCTGCAACAACTGCACATCAACGAAAATTTTGCAAAATTAGCCGAAGCGCTTTATATAGCTGATAGAAAAGCTAGGGAAGCTGTGGAAACTAGAGCTCAGCTAGAAAAGAAATTGGCTCAAAAAGAGAAAGAGGCCAAAGAAGAGCACTTGCGTCAGTTAGCACAGAAAGCTCGTGATGAAAGAGCCGGAATTAAAACTGCAGGTGGCGGAGGACATGCTAGAAATGTTGACGAAGAAGAGCAAGAAAGAGAACTACTCAGGCAAGACAGGCATAAAGAGAGAGCAAGAGACAGGAATCTTGCTAGAGCTGCTCCAGATAAAAGAAGCAAATTGCAACGCGAAAGAGAACGTGACATATCTGAGCAAATTGCACTTGGAATGCCAGCCAGAGGAGTTTCTTCAAGTGAAACTCAATTTGATCAAAGACTATTTGGACAAGCAAAGGGCTTGGGACACGGGTATGGGGATGATGACGCTTATAATGTATATGATAAACCTTGGAGGGAAGGAGGCTCTATGGCCAATCACATCTATAGGCCCAGCAAAAACATTGACAAAGATATGTACGGAGGTGAAGATTTGGACAAAGCTATTAGAACAAATCGTTTTGTGCCCGACAAAGAATTTGGGGGTACAGATAGATCTGGAACGGGCCGCAGTGGGCCTGTGCAATTTGAAAAAGAAGAAGATCCTTTTGGTTTGGATCAGTTTTTGTCGCAAGCTAAGAGAGCCAGTAAACGCAAGGAGCCTGAAAAGAGGGACGATAGGGACAAGAAAAAGAGGCGAGATTAAAATTGATTGATTCTTATAGGATTTTATATCCTTTTATTTCAATAATAATTGAGTAATTAATTATACACACAATTTTGTTGTAATATTGTAATTAAATTTAAGATTGACTTTTAAAAAACTTGTTTTTTTTTTCAAGTAACAAGAAGTCATAGTCATAGCATTTATTTGTTCCACAATTGTAAAATAAAAAATCATCACAAAAGCCCTTTCAAACATAGAATGTGTCAATTTGAAATACCTAAATCTAATATTACAAACTAAATACTAAAATACAGATACTTATTTGTTTAAACCTCGTTCAATTTTCCTCCACTGAGTAGTAAGCCCTCTGAAGTAAGTGGTTTTTCAACTTATGTTTGAGGGTATCAAATCGCAAGCTTTGCCAATTTGTAGGTAGTTTGCTATAGATTTCTATAATTGAAAATTGAATGTTTCTTTTGAATATAAGTAAAATGGCTTCTCACATTAACAAGATCAGTCCTTTACCTTGTATCATAGCAATGTCCTCTAATGAGAGAAAAAGGTCAGGATGTTGCTTAATACAAACAATGCTGCTTCCAGGATAAAGATAAATATTTTTTATTTGGACTCATTAAAAATTTGTATTATATTTCAAGGCTTCATTGAAATTTTCTTAAGGTCAATGGTCAATTTTAAATGACATAAATATCCTTCTTCCAACTTGATTATTATGGTCATCAAAAATTTAATGTTATATTGTAAAGTGGTTTTTAATTATTTGTAGGAGACATTTATTGATTTTGGCAGCATTGAAATTTATCATTATCGTAATATTACTTACGTATTGAAAAAAAAGTAATAAGTTACTTGCACAATGTGATAGCAAATTAAATCTAAAAAATTTAAAAGCGCGCCAAAACAGCTACCTATTTTGTTGTGACTTCCTTACAGTAAATGGGGGTGTTCGTTATAGTACAATTTTGCATTTTTGTTACGTAAATTGTACAAAAGTTAAATATTTGTAATAAAGCGTTATTTAACTTCACTTGTTTGATGTTCATTAACTCTTTATTATTTATTTATTCTTTATCATATTCAACATAATAAATACTAATTTCCTTATTTATTTCAAATGCTGGGTCAGTTACACAAAATATGCCTTTATTTTTTCCAAATAAATGCATTTGATTTGTAATTAAATTTAACTTTTAAATTTATCGGATATTGTTTCACAAATAAAAATAACTTATCCACTGTCAATCAATGAATTAACTATCCAACTCCAAATATACTTTTCAAATTAGCCTCTTTTGGTGAAAGCCTATTTAAGATAAATTTGAATGTTTTTTTTTTTTTTTTTCAGTTCCAATTTATATGCATATTAGTTAGTTATATTCGAAGTGATATAACTTTACCTAGGAATAACATTGCAACGCCGTCACAACTAACCCAATCAAAATCGGTTTTGGTTCTGAAAATTTGAATTTTGATGATTTTCAATTTTGAATTTCCCAGAAAATAATCTTTCATTATTTGTTGTAAGAAGGTTTTGGCAGCATAAAATATGTATAAATACTTATGCAGTGTGCGCCATAAAGTTGGGTACATATGGGAAAAATCTTAATTATTCTTTTTTTCAAAAAACTTTTTTTGGGGATCGTTAGGGCATGTTCGATAATCAAAAAATCGATTATGACACATGTCATGTTATTTTTCTGATGACCATGTGCAAAAAGGGACATGGGTACAGTTATAGCGACACGACCGGACGGTATTTTCTAATTTATGCCCTTCAAGTGTGTATTTCGCAACACAATCGATTCATTTGATATCAAACTTATGTAGTTTAGTTGAATAAGGCTATTTTTGAAATAAAATTAATATTTTCGATTTTCCATTTAATGGTATGGGTAAAATAAGTAGTTTTATTTTTTTTCTCTGATTTGCTTCAAAATCGGCATGTGAAGTTCTTTTTGAATTCTGAACAACTTTTTCTTATAAATTTTTTTGATATCTTGTCAAATTTACCCGTTTTTCGACATCAATATCAACTTTTTTCAAAATTCCCGCTTAACCGATATGCGCATGACATGTGTCATAATCGATTTTTTGGTTATCGAACATGCCTAAACGATCCCCCAAAAAAGTTTTTTGAAAAAAGGAATAATTTAGAATTTTCCCATATCGTCATTAATTTCACAAAGTGACGTATCTCAATAAAACTCTGATTTGAGATACGACACTTTGTGAAATTAACGACGATATGTACCCAACTTTATGGCGCACACTGTATATACAGGGTGTCCCAAATTCGCGGGTGAGCATTGAGATATCGGAAACTACTATAAGAAATACGAGGTCAGTTAAATTATGGCAAAGTTGCGCAATTTTATGACCAATAAAATACCGTTTTGAAAAATTCCGAATACTTCCAAAGATATTCGGAAAAAACCGAAGTTTTGCAAAATCATTTCTATTTTTTCTTGAGTTTATTTGAAGAGCAATTTTAAAATAAATGTCACTTCATCGTTGTCATTTTTTCCTCTTTACAAGATGTTGCTACCAAATTTCAGATTCGACGTTTCGTCTTTGGGCGGCCATCATCAACTTTATTTTTTCGGATACGATCCTGGATTTTTTATTTCAGCTTTTAAATCTTCTGATGTCCCAAAACCTATGACGTATCGCAATTATTTGAAAAAATATTTTTTCTATTCTTTAGTAATTTCCGAAGTAATATCCTACCAATTGTCTTCTCTGTCAAACTCTAACACAGTTCTTATGAAAAGTGCCAATAATATAAATGTTTCGAATAAATGCGATACGTCATAGGATTTGGGATATCAGAAGCTCTTAAAATCTGAAATAAAAAATCCAGGTCCGTATTTGAAAAAAAAAGTTGATGATGGCCGCTCGAAAGACAAAATGACGAATCTGAAATTTGGTAACAGCATCTTGTAAAGGGCGAAAAGTGACAACGATGAAGTGACGTTTATTTTAAAATTGCTCTTCATATAGACTTAGGAAAAAATAAAAATGATTTTGCAAAATTTCGGTTTTTTCCGAATATAGTATTCGGAATTTTTCAAATTTCAAAACGGCATTCTATTAGTCATAAAATTGCGCAACTTTACCATAATTTAACCGACCTCGTATCTCTTATAGTTTCCGATATCTCAATGGTCACCCTAAAATTTGGGACTCCCTGTATGTACATATTATTTTAATTAATTTAAAACCAATTTGAACTGCCAATGTAATATCATAATAATTAACATGGGAAATCAATTAATTTAATATCATTGTTTTTTGACGATTTTAATGGTTTTCTTATTTTTAGATCGCTATTAAAATCCTTGAAAAACAATTCAATATATTGCATTTCATTTCTAATTTTGTTTGATTGGGAAAAAATTTACAAGTAAAATAAATTATTTAGGGTTTAATAAATCAATAAAAACAATGATAGAATATGTTTATATCATTTACATAAAGATACAGCATTTTAACAATAAAAAGAATAACTTGGCCTAGAATAATTACTAGAACTAGATGCAATAAAAAAATAATTACAATATACCAACAACTAATCTAGGTATTAATCTAAAGCTAAAATGTATAAAGAAAAGTTGTAATACAGTCTTTGGATAGAAATGTGTAGGAAATTGGAAAAATTATTTTAAAATGGATTTTATTTCTAAAAGTTTTTTTTTTTTTTGGCAAAGTCCTTATGAACGTTAGGGAATCTATCGCTCAATTTCTCCCATACTTAATACTCAGAAAACTGGTAATTTTGTGGACAAAAAAAAAAACACTTAAAGGTAAAATTAATTTAAATACCATGAATAGACAGTTTTTGAACAGTGAAATAACTGTTAATCAATTATGCATCCACTTAAAGTTAAACAAAACAAATTTACATATTTTTTACAAACACCAATATAGGTAACTAATTAAAAAAGCCTTGCCACATTTAAAAAGATTATTAAAAAACTATTAACAACTTGAAAATGTTCGTCAACAGCCAATTCAGTCATTTTAATATAATTTGCAATTTTCCAATAATTAATCTGCATTATCTTTGTCACTTGTCGCATTTTCTGGGGGTATTGGCTGTTTCCTAATGCCATCCTCGCCGTTTTCAAAAATTTCAATATCACCAAAACTAACCCTTTTCGAATGGGTTTTTCCATTACTATTGGCTTCTTTCATGTTACTAGTCCCCAATATTTTACCATTTTTGCTAATAACAATATAATTAAGTGGAATCATTCCACCTTTGCCATTATAAAATGCATAAGCCCAGCCAGTATTTTTCAAATTCATTTCTTCTTGTAAATAAGTAGGAGCAAGTAAAAGATTATCATTTGTATGTATTGTCAATTCATTAGGCGAAGTTCCAACAAAGTCAAAACAAGCTTTGGCATCAATACCTGGAGATTTCCAGTTGGCAGGATCCAATTTGTCTTCATATTTTGGTAATAACTTACTAATAATGTAGGGGGCCGATACGATAACACCTAAAAATGCTAGAGTAGGCCAACTAGAACCGGGTGGAGGTTTGGGGCTAGCTCCATTAGCCGCTTCTTTCCAAGCCAGCGAACTGGCATTAGCTGGCACTTTGAGACCCATCATTTGCCTCAACTTTCTGTACAACCAAGTAATAAATCTGAATATGTTTACGGAGTACCATATATGGCCAAACATTGTTCTTAATTTGCCGAAATTTTCAGCCACCCCTAAAATAGCTCTAAAGGAGCTGGTCATGGCAAAAAACGTATTGTCCAGCATCATTGCCAAACTGTTAAAAGCCCGCACTACACTTTCCACACTGGCAAAAGTCTGTCTGGAACTATCTTCTGCATATTGAATGAATCTTCTTTCGTGATCGTCGGATGAATACCTTGGATAATCAAACATACCATTATTATTATAACCACCATAAGATGACCCATAAAGTGAACTTCTATACGGTGTACCAAATCCTCCATAAGAACCATACGAGCTCATTGAACCATATGAATTATTATTATATGGAGAGTAGGGCATCGAATAAGAACTTACAGCACTAGATCCTAGAGTTAGAGGCCTGGGTGGTAAAACTGGAGCGGCCCTGCCGGGCATCACGGTTTGATTTCGTAAAAACTGCGAGGAATTTTGCAATAATGGGGGAGCTGGTCCCCAACCGTTCGAAGATGTCATCATTGGGGCTATATTAATTGCTGTTCAAAGTCCACAAATATTGCCACTGTTTTAATATAACATATAAGGCCTAATGATACTTATCACTAAGTACTCGAAAAAAAAATTAAATTCATTATCAGTAGATGTAATACGCGTACTTGTTTGAATGATGTTTTTTTTTTTTCTAATTTTAATTGTTTTGATTTATGATTATGACACTGCGGAAAACTGGTCAGCGGAAAACAAAACGAAAACACTGTAATCCTTTCACACCTAGGAGGAGCTCCGGAACAGCTCCCGGGCTTCACGCGCTATTCCTTTCGAAAAGTGTTTTTTGCACCACGTATCTGTTCCTTGCAAATCGGGGGCGACTAAACACCGGAGCGAGTAGCTCGAGTGTTTCAAGCTCTTGAAAGGAATACAACTAAAGTCAATCGCAATTGGTCTGTTTCTGCAGAAATCACAAACCAGTCAGAGTGATTTTCATTGGTTGAAACTAGTTTTCTGACTGTTTTCAACCAATGAAATTCGCTCTGACTAGTTTGTGATTTTTGCAGAAACAGACCTAATAATTGCTGTGTTCGTTTTTGTCATCTTTTTCCTCGATTTGCTCCGAAATTTTGACAGGAACGTGAGTAGATCAGACAGTTTCAATTTACAAATCACGTACCTGTCAAAATTTCGGAGCAAATCGACGAACATGGCTCGTATAGCTTTGTTTTGGTTTCACTCAGAACTAGTTCGGAATCATTCTGAATCATAATCGAACTGTTTTGACAGACAGCGACCAGCGTTTTGGTTATCTAGAACTAGAACAATTCTGGGATTGTTCTAGACCGGTTCTCTCCGTTCTTGCTCTGGAGGAGGAACTGATTTGGAATTTTGTGATTTGCTGCGTTTTGGTTTTTTTGGTTCCGAATCGGTTCAGAACTAATATTAGTAGAAGAGTCCTGTATTCTTTTTTGTGCGCAAGCAGTTCTGTGCAATCCTAAGGCCGTTCCAAATTTCGAACCTTAACAAAGCTATTGGACTGCGTTCACCAGACTCAAAACGGGTTGTAAACAGACCGAGTTCGTTTTCGTCATCTTTTTCGTCGATTTACTTCGAAATTTTGACAGGCACGTGACTGGCCTGACGTTCAGTAATTTGCTAAAAGAACAGAGCGTGCTGAGCGGAGCCGTAATCACGTGACCAGCGAGCAAACGGAGCAGTTGAACGCTGTATCAGACTGCCAGAAATATCAATAAACGAACACAAATGAGCCTGCACCGAGTACACTTTTTAAATAAACGAATGGTAAACTCAAGCTCGGAGAACTCAGATCAAAATAACAAACGCACGATTTGTATACGAATAGTTCCGAGTTAGCTCTGAATTCCTACTAGCCTTACGTTCGGTATTTTGCTCGAAGAGCAGAGCGTGCTGAGCGGAGCCGTAATCACGTGACCAGCGAGGGAACAGAGCAGTTGAATGCTATATAAAAGTGCCAGAAATTTTAATAAACGAACGCGAATGAGGCTGCACCGAGTACACTTTTTGAATAAACGAACGGTAAAGTCATGCTCGGAGAACTCAGACCAAAATAACGAACGCACGGTAGGAACGCAATAGTTCTTTTCACGTGGCTCCGGTTTAACTAACCGGGTTACAAAACGGTTAGAGAAATGACATACCGTTTTCTAACCCGGTTACGAAGTAACGTGATGGATACCTACCACTCGAATTTGAGCGGTATGTTGCGGTTTGTTAAATCGGAGCCACGTGAAAAGGGTTAATCGGTGGTACAAGAAACAATTTTCACACTTTCTAGACTACCACACCGAACACCGTTCCTTGATATCTCGTTTTACTAGAGCCGTTCTAGAGCCCGCTTCAGGGTTGCGTTAGAAATAGCACTCTGAGCCGCTTTCCAGTATGCACATTGGCGCGCTCTAGAGCACCTCGGGGGCGCCACGCACTAGATTTGTACCGTTCCAGTATCATGGCGTGAGACGCCTGTCTTAGTGTCAAATATGTCAAATTTTAAAAATAATTAATATCTGTTTGTTTGTGCAGTTTGTCTTTTTATTTATCAAAAATGAAAGAGAATCAAAACTATATATTTTAAAATGTTCAATCTTGAGATATAACAAGCAATAAATAGATAAATAGCCACTCACGGATGTGACAGCTGATAGGTTGACGCGTACGTACAGCTCGGGGGCTCCACGCCCCGAGTAGCTCCGGGCGTCACACTCCCATACTGGAAAGCGGCTCTGGTTGTGAGAGTGACCCTAGAGTAACTTAAGGCCCAATTTCACAATCGGTGGTAACCAGTGCTAGTCAGTCAACTAGGGGTCAGGGGTTAACTGGGACTTCGCTTATTAATCTGTTTCACACTAAACAAACAATCGTTGGTTATATGACTAGTGGTTGAATTTTATTTCTCAAAGGTTGGTATTTGATTTTTTGACATGCTACAATTCACCTTGGAAAATAAAGGAAGGCCCCTTAATACTTCACTATAACGTCACTTTTTATGATTTGTCATTAATAATTATATTAATTTTTGTCAGTGGCACTAGAATTTCAGAGATACCTACCCATTCAATATTGGTTTTTGTGCCGGGTTTCCTGTTTGAGTTTAAATGGAGTTAAGTGAGAAAAAGTCTGTGAATTTTTCAAAGGAAGAAGAATATTTATTGGTGTCTCTCGTGCAAAAGTATAAATTCATTATAGAATGATGTGGAATGTTGTATCACTAACGGAAAAAGGAATGCAAAAGTTTTCATTGAATAATTTTACCATTTCAAACTTAACACTTTGAATTGCCCTAAAAACGAAGCATTTCAGCTAACTCATAGGGCGCGTTTGGGTTCACGCTCGGTCCACTCAGAGCTTGCACTTTTGTCTCTTTTTCGTTATTTTTGAAGCTCCGACAACGCTCGATTGTGTTTGGTTTGACATATTTTGAGCGCTCAGAGCGAGCCCGATAAACTCCGAGTTTGTGGGGTGGGCACCTGGAGCGTGCATGCGCAGAACAGATGTGTTTAATCTGTCTGTATAACCTAACCTATTTTCCTTGATAAGATAAATAAACAATCCTGAATTTTAACATATACTTGTTAGGTGGATAGTTTTGGCTATTTTGTTCAAGTGTTAACAATCAAATAGCTAGTAAATTCTGCATAATTGTTTACTTTTAATTAAATTTTCTCGATAGTCCTCATCACTGGTATTATTGAACATATTTTTCCAAGGGAACTTGGCAGCCTCAGAGTGTTTAGGTCCGTTTTATTGTTTATGTAGCACATTTTTTGCAGAATACAAAAGAAAATGGGGCTATTTGAAAATTATCGACTAAAATGCAAAACAAACGAGAAAACTCTGGTGCAAATGCGGAATGCGGGCTCGGGCTCCAAAAAATATATGCCAAGAAAAATAAACAATAATCAGCTGATCGCTCAACCCAGCATTTTTGCACAAGTTTATTTGGCTTGACACGGTGTACTCCCTGTGACGTCACGTTACTCCGTAATCGCTCTGCTCGCTCCGCCGAGCGTCAACCCAAACACGCCCATAGTTAACTCATACGTATCCTTGGGTTAATTCAACTACAATGGTTAACTAAAGGTGTCACGTTGGTAAACCGTTCATAGATTAACAGGTGCTTACTCGAAGCGTTACGCTGGAATCGTTCAAAAATCGAGAGTTGACGTGCCTCAGAGTGCGCCCAAATCACCCCACTCAGGGACTAGGTTGAGAAACGCCTCGCGGTTTTTACTGGTTTTTACCCGGTTTGACGTGATTCATGACTTGACCACTGCAACGCCCCAGTACGTTCAGCAATTACTGTATTCCTTTTACCCGTTGAGTTACTCGGAGCTGCTTAATAGCCGCTTTCCAGCTGACGCTTTTGAGCACGCAATCGAGCTTTTGCGCGCGTAAATGCTTCAAGCGCGTGTTCGTGTTCCAGCTGTACTGCGCTTCGAGAGCTTAGTCGCGTTTTTATTCTCATCGGTGACTTCACCGATGAATCAGCTATCTTTGTTTAGTGAATGAAAAATGACAGTGACGGCCATAGAATGGTGGATCCATCGGTAAAATTTGATGAGAATAAAAACGCAGGGCTTGATAACTTTTGCGTTTCAAACACAGAACACGGTGCTGCATCGTGCTTGAAGCACACAGCTGCAAAGCAGCTAATGTCAAAAGCTTGAACGTTCCTTTTAAAAGTGCGTTAGGTCGGATTTTCATGCATCCGTTTTCCGACGAAATATGTCCGAAAAATCTTCTATTTTGACATATTTTTATAGGATTATGTCAGAATAGAATGTTTTTCGGACATCTTTCGTCGGAAAAACGGATGCATGAAAATTAAGCTTTAAGCACTCGAGGCGCTCATAGTGCATCCCCCTTTTCCCTGATGCATTAAATTAGCGGGGGGGGTGCAAGAAGCCCTTTTGGGTAATGTTAATATTAAAGAATATTGATAATATCTGAATTGTGTGTTTTGGAGTGACTCCGAGAAGCTCTAGAGCGACACGTTCGGTGTAACTCGATGTATGAAAAAAATACAGTAATGGCGATTGCCATTTGTCAATCAGTGCGCACTGAGGGTATCCGAATCTTTTCCTAAAAGCATTTAACATGTAAGAATTGAGGATACATTTTTATGCACTGGTTCGACAAATGGAACCGCTATAAGTACAGTGACTCTATTACCCACAGTGGCGACAATTGCTGTCTTATTTTTGATTGGTTCTAAAATCCCATATATTTATATTGAGAACGCGGCCATCTTGTTCCCATCTATTGCTTATTTCAAATATGAATATATGGGATTTGGGTGAACATCCATCATAAAACATGGAAACAACGTATTTGATGGACCTAATAATAGTCATCAAATACGTCGATTTCAATTTTTTATGAAAGATGTCCATTTAAAACCTATAAATTCATATTTAAAAGTAACATGTGGTTGGGAACAAAATGGCGGCGGGACCTCTATTGTCGCCACTGTATGTAAAGGTTTATTTAGCCACTGTAGCTATAAGTAGCGCACCCCAGAGTGCACTACAACTGGGCCGAGTTCACAAATAACGCACAGCAGGATGCGATTTTATGGGTGTGTCTGAATTGACAAAATTAGCCATTGTGCCTATAGCAGCACCTTCTAGCATTTTTGAACAGCTAGAGCGTCGCACCGGTGTCACACTCACACTGGGTGTATCATTCCTGAACTCGCCCCGATGATTCCTTGCCCGATGATGACGTAAAAAACGGAGATTTTTGTTTTTTTTTGACATTGACACAATACACAATAACAAAAATAGTTATTAGATTAGTAACAAAAATTAAATTCCACTCTGGAGATTAAAATATTTATTTCTAGATAACAGCTAAATATCTAAATATGGTAAGTAGCAAAGGTAAAATTTATTTATAATTAAATGTCTATAATGTAACTTTTCTAGTCTGGAAACGTAAATATATGTGAAATTACAGACGAAGTCAAACAACTTCTCAAAGATTTCAGGTTTAGAAAAGTAAAAGATACTGCTGCCCTTATTTGTAAGTAAAAAAATCATTGATTCAAAATTTTAGTGAACTAAATTAAATTTGTAGTAAAAGTTGACCGCGAAAAGCAACAAATAATCCTAGATGAACAACTTGATGATACAAGCATCGAAAGTTTACAGGAAAATTTGCCCAGTCACCAGCCTCGCTTTGTAGTTTTATCTTACAAGCAAGAACACAAAGACGGTAGAATATCGTATCCTCTATGTTTTATATTTCTCACACCTCAAGACAGTCATCCAGAGCTTCAGTTGATGTATGCAGGTTCGAAATTGGCTTTGCAAAAAGAAGCCGATTTATCTCGGGCTTATGAAATAAGAGAGCTAGACGATTTCACGGAAGAGTGGTTACTTGGTAAACTTGGCAATTAGTAATTACTAATTTGTATTGTGGCAAAATGGAATTGTATTTTGGGTCCTTGAGTCATCAAAAAAGAAAAATATCAAAAATATATACTCTTAAATAGTCTTATGTATTTACCATTGAAGCTTCCAAAAATCTAAAACAATTAAGATGGTAAAGATATATTTAGTTTATAATTCTATTTTTCAAAGTTGTACTGCGATAAATGCTAAAAATTTCTTTAGGAATTCTGTAATTTAGGTTTAAAATTTTGTTACCATATTGTAAATTAATAAATCATTATTACTATTTATATCTCAATTACCTATTCTATTATTCATTTTTATCTATATGAAAATAATAATTTATATTTATAAGGGGTGTTCAAAATCAAAATTGCTATGTTTTTTTAAACATGTCTCAGCAATATTTTTCTTTAATGTCAAAATGTTATGTCAAAAATTTTGACCAATAAAGAAACAATAATGTGATATATGTTTTCATCCGAGCAATATTTGTTTTTTTTTTTTTTAAAAGCCCGTTACATATAGGTATAGAAGATTATGTCTTTACAATTATTTTATAATGTAAAATATTTAAATGTAGGAAGTTATCTCGGAAGTTATTTATAATTTATAAAAAAAGTATCTGTTTTTGAAATGCCTATGATATACTGCCAGAAGAATTATGTTATCTTTTAGGCTTTAAAAATAGCGAATTAAGGAATTTTTAATATTTGTATGTGTGTATTAATAATTAATATTTTTTACAGAATGTTGGTTTGCGTCTGATGTAATCGAAACAATTAAAATCAAATACAAAAATCATTCCCAGAGATTTTTTCCAAAAAAAAAATCTTGAGTATGTATTTCCATTCGGTAACTGTTTAATTATAACAAAATGAACTAATAGAAATTTTGTTAATTTTGAATAAATTTACTTTTGTTGTCACTGCCCCCACTAACTGCTGATTTCCCAAAACATAGGTTTCGGCTTCAATCACTGTTTCAATAGGGTACTTGCATGGAAAATTAAATTGATTATTGTTTATTGCAAACTGTAGGAAATCGAAAAAAAATCGTTACTTGATGTCATAGGCATATTTCATAGTGTTGTATCTCCGTCAATTTTTGACTAAGAAGAAAAAGAAAAAACATGTGTTGACTTATTTTTTATAGACAAAATCAGCAATAAAAAAAATGGACGCAAGTACCCTATTATATGAAAGTAATATGTATGTCAGATACTTTACATTTGCATTTGTTCAGGGCTACAGTACAAACATTTATTTGGAAAAATGCACATCAAATTCAATTAGAACCTATCGACTATTCTTCATTTGGCTATGAAGAGAATAATAATTGTAACTTCTTACCCAAATGATCACGTTGCCTTTGCCAGAATCATTGTGTTGCAGTTGTAAAAAGTCAGAATCACCCTGTATTGCATTGTGTTATGTGAAAGCATGAATAATGATTGTCTAAATAAAAATTACCAATTATTTGTCTCATTCCAATATCTTTCTACTTGCATCTGCTGTTTCCTTTTGTAAATGTTTCAGAATACTCTTTTAAAATTATTTATTTTTTTACTTCATGTTTCTTTGTTGTTGATTTTGAACCTCCGACTTCTGGGATTCCAGCCCCATGCTCTAGTACATTTTCAGATAATAATATTAATAATAAATGCGCTGCTATAGCTAGGTCACCATACCTCTAGAGGGCAGCAACCCAGGGTCGTGAGTTCAAATCCCACTAGTAACAGCACATTTTAACAGACTTTTTCATTTAAAACCCTTTTGTCTCTTTCACCATAAGAGAAAACTGAATTGGAACTATCATAGTCATTGAAATCACACACATAGCATAATGCTCCATGAATTTCCTGTATACAGGTAAAAAAAGAGGGGCTTTAAAAAATGGACCAAAAAATGAACCCGAAAGAACCAGATTATTAATTTTTGAACTTTCCTCAGCTACTATTCATTGATAAAAAGCGGTCCTCACATTTTGCATACTCATATCCATCTAACTCCTGGTCCAATGGTTTGTTTGCTTTTTAATTTTTATTTGGTTATTTTTTACCTTAGAACTATGTCAGCTATGTCAAAAAGATGTACTTCTTGGACAATAAAGCATATTTTGTTTTGATTTAATAATGTAAATCACAAAGTAAATAAAAATACAAAGTATTTTCTTATGTGTATTATAAACCTATATTTACAATCGAAGGGCTCCCTTTTTTTATTCTATGGCTACTGTGACTTTATAAATAATACATAAATGAAAAAAAAAAGAAAACGTACATCTAATAATAAATAACTAAGTTCACAAAATGGGAGACAGGAAAATTCAGTTCTAAAATTTCAGTGGGTTAGCGTATTTTTTTTTGTTAATTCTGTGAAATTTTAGAACCGAAATCCTAAAACTCAACTTTTTGCTGCTTGCTTAATTCTTAACAATATATTTTTTTGATCTTGGGGTGACTTGACTGAATCCTTCAACTGCTCTACGCGATCAACACATAAATCATTCTGCAACAAACAGGCAAATGTTAGAGATTTCGGTTCTAGATTTTTTGCTGTTAACAGTAAAAGGCCAAAAATATGTTATAATTATGAGGATCAAAACTAATGATAATTGACAAATAATTTGCTAACTAAAATAGGTAAAAATTTAATCTCCAAATATAAACCAATAAAGCTTAAAATTTAATTAAAAAAAAAAAATTGCATCAACTTCATTATCACAGAAAGTTGTACAAGTATGTAATTTTGAATTTGAAATTAAAAATTCCTTGAAAAATTCTCAAGAATCAAGCTTCTAAAATTATAAATAAAAAATAATTAAAATTTACAACATTTAAAAAAGCTCATATCAATTTTATGTCATAATTATTTACAAATTAACAATATTCTCCAAAAATAACATTGAAAAATATTGCTGGTGATGCAACTTTGCAAAAATACTATTATTGTTCCACAACTATTCTTTCTAAAGCCATTACGTACCCATATAGATAATAGAAGAAAGATATGAGATAGAAGGCAAGCTTAATCCATCCTTCCCTCTGGCACAATGTTAATTGGTCCTGATTCATAATACTTGTTGGATCGTAGATGCCAACAGTGGACATAACTGGTCTCGTCCTGTACCTATTAATGTGGTACAATATTAACGGTAGATTAATGAAAAAAGTGAACCATTCGCCTGCAAACGCCAGCAACAAGTTGAAGAACATGTGAAGAATGTACTCTGGCAAGACGAGCTAGAAGAATACCAAACATTTTTCAATAAATAAGTATTTTTGTTTATTTAACCTGGGTCTTCTACTCACTGGATTCAAACTATTGCATTGATCTATTGGGTTTTTATAGTCAGTTTTCAGTTCGTCAATGGCTATGACGTGAAATAGCGAGAAGAATATTAAAAAGGCATCTCCAATCAAGGCAATAATATAAGAAAATGCCGCAAAATTGAACGCCATGATTTAACAAAAAATTAATTTATTGATAAAAAAAAACCGGAACATAAACGAAAACCGAAAACGACATTTCGGATAAAGTTTTGACATTGACAATTTTAAATGAGGTTATGTTCACGGGAACATCTTTCGAGCCGAGAAGTTATGACGTCATTGCAATCAAGCAAAGCGGATCCCCAACCCAAGGAACCCGGTAGTTGTAGCTACTTATGCATTCAAAAGTGCTATAGACTTTGTGGCACGTTTCAAAACAATCGTACACTGTCGCACAGTTTATTATGAAATTTGTGATAGTCGAGCAAGGATAATACACACTACTACTAACCTTTATTCCTTGTTGGGTGCTTATTAACCAAATTAGTTGCTAATCTTTTTTTATCATAGCTTTTTATCTATTTGTTGAGAAATATGAAGCTATCACTTGTCAGATATTTTTGTTTTTCTATTGTTCTTGCTTTTTTTTACTCTGAGTGTTTTTATATGTAGATACTTTATTTGTAATTTTAATAATGAAGAGATTTAAGTGTTTTAAATTAAGTTTGCTTTGTCAATAAGATTTTTAGAGTTTTTTGGACAATAAAGCATGTGTACTACTACTACTACTACTATTCTTGAAACAGGGGAGCAGCATTCTCAGGAGAAACGAGTGTTCCTTCTTTCTCAATAAAATGCAACTGATAGTATAAGTAACAAAAGACAGAACACTCATTCTTCTGGGGAACGCTGCTCCCCTGTTTCAAGAATAAGAACGCAAGAGAACGAGTGTTCCGTCTTTGTTATTTTTATTATCATTTGCATATCATTGAGAAAGACGCAACACTTGTTATCCTGAGAGCGCTGCTCCCCTGTGTCAAGAATAGGGATAGCCTATCCTCATGAGGCCTGTGTGGTACAAATCTGAAGCCCCACCACGGCAATTCACCAATTATGACGTGACAGCATGTCCTTTCTCGCTTTGGCGTAGGCTATTTGCAACACAGCTTATGATTATGACAGGGCTTTTGCTTTATGCCTACTTGGTTTTACTACAATAATTGACAGTCTGAAACAACTCTTTTTAAGGACTCGTTTTCATCTTCTTCTTGGGCCGTATTCTCCGTAGTTCATAAAGCCTGGCTTAGTGGAAAAGCTCGGCTTTGTCACACAAAAAACATAGCGTTTCCACTAAGCCAGGCTTTATGAACTACGGAGAATATGGGCCTTTAGCCTATTATGTTAATCAAAATTAAATAATATTGGCGGCGATTACCAAAAACGAGGCCAATAAGCAATTCTTTAATAGCGTATAAGTATTATTTTTGATAGCCGAGTCGTTGTCATTTTGTTGATTGTACGATTGTTTTGAGCCGTTCTAGAACCTTTTTTCGAACCCGAACAGGCCTAAGTTTACCGCTTGCCGCTGGTCTCGTCGTCGTGTAGCCAACGGATCTTTGGAACGAATTTCGATGGGGCGGATCGGATGGTTGTTGCTCCACCTTGAATTCGCCACATCACATGAGCCGCTTTTCAGCTGGCTATTTTATGGACGCAATCATGCATTTGCGTGCACAAACTCGTGAAAAGTGTGTTCCATCTGCCAATGGGCTTGGAACGGAACGCAAGCTACCTCTTCCCTGCCGATGCACAACCTCGGAATAGTGGCTTCGAGCAAACATAATCCTACTCCAGAGCAGGATTATTTTTGCTTCGAGGCTTCGAGTCGAGCCCAAGTAAACAATTAGCCATAAAAGACGGCGATTTTAATGCGGGAAATATTTAAGGTTTCAGAAGCGCGTTCCAACTGATATCGGCGTTCCAAGCTTGTGCGGTTCGAAACGCGCGGTGCCAAACCTACGTACGCTTTCATCTGAAAATGGCTAGATCTGCAAAAGCCGCAACAGCGAACTTGAACTTAGAGCGAACCGAACAGCTTAACCTCACAAATTAAAATTACAAATTAAAAACAAGAGGTTCCTGTATGAAATTTATAATGTATTTTATTTGTTTTGTAATTTGTTGTGGCGTGGCATATTTGGGAAGCCACATGCTGTTCTTACGGTGATAACATCACAAACCTGAAATATTTTGCAATTAAAGTATTTAGTGTAAGTTAGTACCAAACTAAAAAAAACACACCTAGCAGGTAGGTACTACACTACTTATTTAATTTCCTAATTAGAACTCGGAAATTTTTAATTTTATTTATTTTACACACAATATATTCTTATATTGTGGGTACCTTATATATACGTATATATAGGTACCTAGGCACATAATTAGGTATAGGTACTTATCCATTCAGTTTCTGTTTTTTCAGAATGGGTATAGTTATGAAAATTTGGGGAGATTAAATAATATCCTTGATTATATAAACAAAAAATGCCCAGCCCAACAAAGTTTGGCGCAATGCAAATTTGAGGTTATTTTTTATTTTAAATTTTATTTTCGTTACAAAATTATTCTGACACTTTACTCTGTCTTGATCAAATCTCGAGTCCCCTACCATGTTAAAGAACCAGTGATGACGTCAGACGTGGGCAGCCTGTCCTCTCTAGTTTTGACGTAGGGTGCTTGCACCACAGGATATGATTCCGCGGGCTTTTGCATTATGCATATTTCGCTTCAGTACATTAATTAACATTCCGAAATAACGCTTTTATAGATCTGGTTTGCATCTTCCTCTTTGCCTATTATGTAAATCAAAATTAAATAGTATTTTTCATCATAAATGTTTATTCTAAACTACGACCCCTGTCGCAAACAGCTGACGACGTAGTTGATGACGTCGTCAATGATGCTACAATATGGCCGCGATTCCCAAAAACAAGACAAGCAATCTTGTGCAGTAGTAGTGTGTATTATCCTTGACCTTGACGTAGGGTGTTTGCACCACAGGTTACCGCAGGCTTTTGCTTTATACGTACTTGGTTTTTCTACATTAATTAACATTCTAAAATAACTATTTTTTAGATCTCGTTTGCATCTTTCTCTTTGCCTATTACCTATGTTAATCAAAATTAAATATTATTTTTCATAATATATTTAAATTCTAGACTACAACCGCTGGCGCAAACAGCTAACGACTTAGTTAATGACGTCGCCAATGGTGCTACACCATATAACCGCGATTACCATAAACGAGGCCGATAAGCAATCCTGTAGTACTATCCTTGATATACATATTGAAAACGCCGCCATTTTGTGGCTTACCTCTTGCTACTTTCACATATGAATGTATACAGGGTGTTTCATGAACATCGAAACAGAAGCGTTTTGAGGTATTTTAAGGTCGATTTAAAAAAAACGCTCGGACACGTCAATTTTTATTCAAGAATTCAAGGGGTTGTTTGAGAGATTAAGGTTGCCTGATAACTTCATGACGTCATCTGGGGTGCCTCAACATAATGCAAATCTCCAAAAGGCACCCCAGATGCGTCATCAAGTTACTTATTACCAGACAACCTATTAACTTTAGGAACCTTGTCCCAGCGTGACCTCCTTCGAACAGCTCACTTCTTCTGGCCCATGGAATGAGGGGCTTGTGTCTTGTCATCACAAAAAAGGTCAATTTATGAATGAGATGCTTTGATCAATAGACGGAGGGTTCTTTTTAGTCATTCTATAAGCAGTGAAAGCGGTGTTTTCTTCAACATCCAATTTTTCACCCATTTTCTTGACTAGGCTCATCAAACTAAGTAAACAAACAGTCGTACTTATAAGTTCCATATCATGCAGTTTATCCATGCATTGACAGTCTATTCACAACAATAAGCAAACATCCAACCACGTTGCCACGTTTTTTCAAAATTTTAAAAACGAACCAAGTTAATGAAGCTAAAACCTATAAACTCTGTCTAACCAAAGTTGAACGTTGAAGGTCACTTACTCATCCTTGTAACCATAGGATTCACACGTTCGAACCTATTTTGGTTTGATAAACACAGTGCTCGTGCAATAAAGATAACAGCAAAAACCAACGTCTGTGATATTGTCAATTACTTAAGTAAATACCACTCTGTGCATCAATTTTACTAAAGTGGATCGACGAGTCAGCGTCAGCATTTATTTGGTATAAATACCGCGCCGAAATCCATTACCGGCAGACGAAGGCTAGTGCAAAGTACCTCTAATGGGAAAAGCCCCTCTAGCTAAGTCGATCTCCTCCCAGTGCAAACTATCTTTAATGGGAAATGCCCTTCTGGGAGTATTGAACGCAGCAGACTAGGTCCAGTGCAAACTACCTTTATTGAAAAAGCAGCTTCAGTCCTTCAGTCACGCCATTGTACATAATACAGAGTGGCCTTTAAGTAGTACGTCCCTCCGTAGAAGAGACGTCATGATACTATTTTTAGGGTAATATTATTATTATTCAATACATTATCTTATTATACCTATACCAAGCCAGTTTCTCTCTACCTGAACCCCACCTACGCCCCCATGTCACGCTCCTGTTGTGATGTCCCAGGACGAAACGTATGGGGGTTGTGATAATATATTCGAGTAACTGACCTTCAACGTTCAACTTTGGTTAGACAGAGTTGAGAAATAAATATTGTTCTAGACTAGATGTCATAGCTACTCATGTTGTCATTTTCAGTATAAGATATGTTGAAGTTCAATAAGCCAGCAATTGTGATAGTCGGTGCAGGAGCTGCAGGAATAGCAGCAGCCACTAAACTTATTTCCAACGGTTTCAATAATGTTACAGTATTAGAAGCTGAGAACCGAATTGGAGGAAGACTGTATTCAGTTCATTGGGGAGACACGATTGTGGATTTAGGAGCACAATGGGTAACGTTCCATGTTCCAAATATTCTATTAAAAATTGCAAGTCCTCAATGTAATCCCAATTCATCAAACAAAGCAGTGTATTGGAAAAAAAAGTTTATGTTGAATGACCACCTACATCCTCAGACTAAGCAACTATAGTTTCTCTCTGAGGTTTAGCTTTTCCAGAGAAATATTCGCAAAGGAAAATCAGGAGGTTCAAGATAGGCGTTACCATTTGTTTGAAAATAATATTAACCATATCGAGATACATATTCAATACTCAAGTACCTACTCGAATGAGTAATAACGCTAGTCCCTATAACATCATCGTAAAGCATTTTATCAAAGCTGTAAAATAGGGTAGGGGTTGCCATTTAACTCATTTAAGATTATTTTGATGCTGTTGCTGCGAGTATGAGAATAGGTTTTTCAAGTGGCGCAATTCCTCTTCAAACAGTATGAACGTTTCTTGAAAATATTTTTTGTTGGTCAACTCATAGCCCAATCCAAGTTTTTAAATTGTTACCGTATTATACCTATTTAACTTAAGTAGATTTTTATAGGTTCATGGAGAAAAAGGCAACATAGTTTACGAAACAGTGAAAGATTTAAATCTTGTCAGCCATGCTGAGCTCAACGGCTACAAAAATTTTAAATTTTACACCTCAAACAACTCAAAATTTGATGAAAATTTTACACGAAGACTCTGTACAATTGCTGAAGGCATTTTCGATGGCGAGTATGGATCTAAAAACAGTCATAATACTAGTGGAACATATGCTTCATATTTCTTAGACAAGTTTGTGAAAACTACAAGCTAAAAACTGGATAAAATTAAAAAGTATGTCGTAGATTTGGTGAGATAGTCACACAAGAATTCGGCAAAGACAATCAGAAAGTCCAAAAAGTTTTTGAAATGATTGAAGAGTTTTACAGCAAGTTTGTATTATGTTTCGAACCAGCTGATAATTGGCATGAAATTTCTGCAGCTAGTCTTGATACTTATCAATATTGCGAAGGTGATCAGCTAATTAATTGGAGAGAAAACGGTTATTCTACAATACTTGATGTTTTAATTGTAAGTATACCTACTCTTGTGCTACCCACCCACTACTGCAGTTCTACAAAAATATGGACTGTGAGAATGATTTTCACGATACCGCAAATCTGCACATGCGCATTTTATTGTTGTCATTTAGTTGAAGATTGTTTTAGATTTTGATTCCCAGAATTATACCTTTGAATAATTATTATCAAGAAATAATCTTGTGATAGTTCCAAGGGGAAAATCCACAGGTTACTGATAGAATAGTAATCGATGAAAGGTTTTAAAATGAAATTGTAAGATATCGAAACTGAAAAGGATATTTTTTCACCTTACCTGGCTTTATTTCCAAACTCCACTCAGCTGACCAGCTCTTTCAGGAAGTTTAAGTCCAATGCGAAAAAGTGCTACGAAACCGTCTTGATTTAAACCGGTTGCGGCAAACGAAAAACCGCGGGTCTATTTTCTCGAACCACACGAAATGGGCAGAGTGTTTTTGGCGACTGATTTACTTGCCGGCAGTGTAAGGACTTTGCTGCTATCCTTTTTCAGTGTTTAACGCGCGGATTTAAAAGCCAAATTAAGCAAAGCTGTATCGTTCTTAGGCATAAAGCGCGCGCAATTCAATTAGAATAAAAGAAAACAATAATTAATTTAAATTTTTGTTTTTTCCTATGGAAATGATAAAATGCCCATGTGCATACTTGGGGACAATTATTATAGTGGCCTGCAACTTGCATACACTTGATTATTTATTTTATTCCAGTCCAAAATTCCGAATGTTTCAAAAGAAGGCTTCCTCAAAAATATCCAAATCAACAAGGAAGTCACTAAAATAATTTGGAACCAAAACGCCCAAGTACAAATCCAGTGTAGTGACGGCACTTCTTACCTAGCCGATCACGTGATAGTCACAACATCAGTGGCAGTTTTAAAGCACAATCATGCAAATTTGTTTGAACCAAGTCTTCCAAGTTATAAAATTAATTGCGTGGACAATATCCCCTTAGGTACCAGCCATAAAATATTTTTAAAATTTCCTGAGAAATGGTGGAGCGATGATCAGGGTTTTAGTTTTTTGTGGACTCGAGAAGATAAGGAGAACTTGGAGACGGAGTTTCCTGGTGGACCAAAACACAACGGCAGGTAATTAAGTCCGAGATTCATTTTGAGAACAACAATTTCTGAATTATAATTGTTCGGCATCATCAAAATAGACGATATACCTACCCATAGTTCAGTGTTTATCTAAACTCTGAACGGCAACTAAGTTAATTAAACTAGAAACGGAAATCAGTGAACAGTCAACTAACTGGAAATGTAATTTGCATAATGTGCAAAATAGAGAACTCAATTATAGGAAAGTTGAAGAATGACCGACTAATTATTATCTAATCGAACTAGTTTCACTAATAACTATTAAAAGATAATTGACCTAGAAACTGACCCTTGTGAAAAGCGTAGCAAAAATGTAGAAATATAAAATAAAAAGTTGAAAAATGGGCTATTTTGGACTGCATTTGAGAATATTTTACAGAAAAAATGGGTTACGGACGTTACGGTGCAAATTCTGTACTTGATATTTAGACAATTCAATAATCAAGCCTTCGCGAGCATTTTTTTTTATAATATAATCCGCAAGTTATTTAAACGTTCTATCATCATTTTCCTTAATGTATCATAAAAAATATAATTCGAAAGTTCCAATGGAGACATTTTCATCAGCTGAACTTCACTCAGTATTTTAGGGAACTAAAGATCCTGCCTAAATATAGATAAGACTCTAGGGACATTATTTTTATATAAGTAAGAAACCCGGCGCCACAGGCAAATGTATGTTTCTTTGTCTCACCTTAGAATGGTTTTTATAATATATCTGGAAAATACAAAACGATTTTTTTACAGGTATTGGTTAGAAGACATTTTTGGTTTTTACCCAGTGGAAAACCTTCCAAATATTTTACTTGGTTGGGTAGTTGGACCAATGACTGAAGAAATTGAATGTTTGCCAGATGAATACGTTCAAAAAGCTTCTATGTTCCTGTTGAGAAAATTCATTGGATCTATGTATGAAATTTCAGAACCTTGTAGCATTTTGAGGTACGTCGATCGATAGATATACTGATTTGATTCAATTTGGTTTGCAACTGATGAATCGAAATGCAAAATGATAGATAGGAAAACTTCTCTATACAATGAATTGAAATATGACGGTACCTTGCACTTTGTGAGACGCTGACTAAAATGCCCCCACACCTGGCAATGCAAGTTATCAAAAGTCAAAATTTATTCCTTTTTCTTGGGGGGTGTGTCTTTATAAACAGTAGTTTGACTCGTTTTGGAATATCAAGAAACATCGAAAAAATTCTTCCTGTGCGTACATGCGAGCGAGTAAATCTATTCAACGATCAAATGGAATTTTCTATTAATAACTTCCTAGAATCCAGTTGGGTCCTCGAGGCAATTTCGTAACAATATTGTAGGTATAACTTGCTCTAGCAACAGAATAGATTAAAATGAAATGTATAATCATTAGTTCAAAAACAAACTGTAGGAAGTTTGATGAGTTGAAATTGTCAAACATCTCTATACTGGAATGTCTTTCGGAGAAATATTTCATGTGTTTATCTCGGTAAACAAAAGTTTAAGTGTATGATACCATTATATTGCCATATTTTCTTATTAATATTATGTACTCAGAAAAATATACATAGGTAGGTACAGCAAAATCATTCGAAAATAATTCCTAATTATAATTAGTATACCTCAATTAAAAACACGCTGCAGATGTTAAATTGGTTGAATGTTGAGCAGAGTATTAGAAGGGCATAATTAATCCCTATCTATGTATATGATTGACCTGGTTAGATGTCAACTGTAAAGGCGATAAAGTTTTCATGGGTATAATAATATCCGCTCGAAAGAGAATTGTTATATTATTGAATTGGCCACAAAATTGAATTTACAAAAAATTTTGATTTTTGTGGGCGTTCCTCATGTATTGCTCTTCCTTAAACAATTAATCATTCGCTCAGCTTGGGAATCCAAAACTATCTAATTGGTTGAACTTACTGCTACAAATTGTAGGTGTTAATTACTAGCCAACTACTAAATACTAGTAAATTACATACTGACGTGGGAAGTGTTTCATTCCTGTCGAAAGATTAGTTGGTTAACTATAATCTCGAGACAGGGATGAAACCTCCTACCAAGGTTTGTGTACTATTTTATTTACAATCATCATAATTTGAACTAAAAATAATATATATTTTTTTTTCTACAAGTTTTAACATTAAACATTTTGTTGACACATCATGAATTTATTCATTTGTTGTGGTTTATTAGAAGAAATAAATCTAGATAATACCCAGCTTTCCAAAAAACGACTCCCGTTTTTTCATGTCCACGTGAACAGCTAAAAAGCACGTATTCGTAAATATTTGATTTTTTTCAAGGGAATTAGGTTTGCGTTAATTTTTTATCTGAAGCTTTCAAACAAACATCCTGTTTATTCAAAATTATTTCCTCATATGGAAAATATATTTGCCGAAATATGGTAGTATGTACTTTTTTTCAGAAAAGGCAAAATTCTATTCATTCTTGACGATCTTCTCAAGGGTCGTATTTTCGAATTCATTCGAGTACATTTCGTACACGAAATTTGACTGATAGCAATGTAAATCAAATAGGGAGCATTCGAAATCGTTTCAGATTTCGTATGGGAAATTATTCGAAAATACGACCCCTGATTCTTGAGGAATCCTGAATCCCATCCTTATTCAAACCTTGGAAAGTAATTTTTATAGCTTCTCTTTAGACACGTTTCATTTCCGCATATTTTAACCCTATATGGAATATACCGAACTCGCGATTTATGTTGGTTTACGTAATAACTTTTTATTTACCTTTTTACGGGAACCTAATTTTTCTTTATCTAAAAGATTTTTATTTTATTTCTATAGTGAAATTATTGGTAATATTATTTCTATTTTTAAATCTAATTCCACTTGTCATCCCAGCTATAAGATTATTAGCCTCAAAAATAAAGCGAAACGGATAGAAAATGTCATCTTGTTCCAGTTCTTCTGACCTTTATTATTGCATCAATTGATTTCCGCTCAACTTGAATCAGGATTTCAATTAACTGCCGGCCAGAACTACGGGCTCTTTGTTTATCTACTTGATCCAAAGGCCGGTTTAGCCAGCTAATAATGTATAATGCATAATGCACAATTCTTAGTTTTTAATGCATAAATAAAGATAACAATATTTAGCTTGGATTGGAATTGATATTTCGTTATTGACGATATTGATAAAAATAATAACAAACAGCAAAAAAGCCGCATTAATAATTACGGGACTTGTTTCTGTTATGACTATTATGAATTGTAAATTAAGAATTAGGAATTGTTTATTATACACTATTAACAGGCTAAACTGGCCTTTACTCGATTATTCTCACACACTCAATATATGTTTTTCAGGTCTAAATGGGGCACTAATCCACATTTTCTCGGTGCCTACTCTTACATAGGAACAAACACAATAAAGAGTGGAGCAACGCATGAGGATTTAGCTAAACCGCTTTTGGTAAATGGGAAAGAAGTTGTATTATTTGCTGGAGAATCTACTCATTCTAAGTATTTTTCTACTGTTCATGGTGCTATCGAATCTGGATTCAGAGAAGCTGCTAGGTTAACAGATTTATACAAGTGAGTAACACAGTTGTTTTGTAGTTAGTTTTCCGTTTCCTGTGTTACCTGAGCCTGAATAGAAGATACAAGTGACAGAAGATACAAGTGACGAATTTTTGTATTTTGTATATTGTTTCTTGTAGGTGACCAACTTACTTTTCTAGCCTTAGGTAAACTATTTATACATTTTTGAAAATAAACGGAAATTTAGTTTCAGTTGTGTTCTTCACGTGATAAGTGTGATTTATTTATGTGTGAAGATGGATCAAGAAAATGAACTAAAATAGGTACAGTGCGAATCATTGCAATTGGCACATACATCCCTCGTTCGTGATGTTCGCATCAAGTCAAAATTCTAACTTATAAATCTGTTTAGTGCAGCGGTGTACATACAATAGTTATTTTCCTAATAAGTGCGGAAAGTACCATTTTTCCGCACGCGATTGTCGTTAGCCGAACGAGGCGAAGAGTGTGGAAAAATTAATTACTACATATACCCCTTGAACTCATGCTGATGATAGATCCGAAACATATTCAATTAATATTTTTCGTTTTACCCTAGTTCAGAAAAATCAGATGTAAATGAACGTAATGATTGTTATCATTTGTTCAAAAAAATCCCGTCAACTGATATTAGAGTTAATAAATACGGACAAAATATCCCAGAAAATATTCTTCAATTTAGAAACTTCCACAAACAGCTGAAGGTTCCATTTGTGATATTATTATAGTATGTATGCTGATTTTGAATACTTTTCAAAATCTCTAAAATATACTGAACCAAAAAATGATGATGCTATTGGTTACCCTATTAAATGTTCATATGATGACTCTCTATCAGTAGTAAGTTACTACTTTGTTCTACACGCAGCTGATGCTTCACACAATTAACAAAATAAAGAGAAGTCGGAATTTAAAAACAAATGCGATATTTCTACCCTGGAGATGAAAAAGTAAAAGAGAATGATAATTTAACTGGCAGACTTAGGGTTCCCGCTCACAGCCTCTACAACTTGAATTTTCAGATTCCATCTCTCATTTAAGTATTTTTTTCACCACTTAACAGGTTATGACAGCCATTTATATAAACTTTGTGAGGCTTTCGCGGCACGGGTTTATCGATGATTTCGGCTTAATGACCGTCGTAAGATGGAATTCCTTCCTGACAAAGTGCACTTTGCAATGAGTAGACAAACAAAAGTCTAAAAGAACTTATTCTTAAAATTAACTTTTTTTTAGAAGCCCAAATTATCACAAAATAGTAATCGTCGGTGCAGGCTTGGCAGGTCTAGGAGCAGCAAAGCAGTGTCAAAAAAACTCAATTGAAGATTTTCTTATACTTGAAGCACAAGATGAAGCAGGAGGTCGCATTAAAACAATATTTGTTGATGGTAAGCCTTTGGATCTAGGAGCACAATGGATGCACGGGAAGAACAATCCATTATATACTTTAGCAAAAGAAAATAATTTACTGGCAGGTGGATATATTTTATTTTTCAGTTTAATACGTGTTGAGAAATTTGGTTTGATTTTAGACTGGGAATCTGAAGAAGGTAGTGGCCTATACATAAGAAGCAATGGCGAAATTGTTGATCAATTTATCGTAAATAGAGTATCATTGAAAGTAGGCGAAATATTGGACGATTGTGCAAAGTTTGTTAATGCAGAGAATAATCATCCTTCATCATTAAATGTTTTTTTAGATGAAGGATTTTCTAAATTTTTGAACAAAACAAATTTAAACGAAACTGATATTTCTAAAGAGTTATACGAGTGGCATACAAGATTTCAAGTGATAGACAATTCATGTAAAGACTTATCAAGATTAAGTGCTAAAGGTTGGGGGGAATATGTTTGTTTAGATGATGAAGCTCATTCCAATTTAAAATATGGATATCAACCGTTGATACAGACATTACTAGATAGTCTCCCAGATAAATGTATCCAGTATAACGCTGAGGTTATCAAAATTAATTATACCAAAGACAAAAAAGTTAGGATCGATGTTAAAGGAGACCAATCAATAATTTGTGATCATTTAATTTTAACACCTTCCTTAGGGGTTTTAAAAGATTTTAAGGGTTTAGATGCTGTACTATCAGAAAATTTAATTCAAAATATTCAGAATATGGGCTTTGCAGGCATTTGCAAGATATACTTGTTTTATGAGAAAAGATGGTGGAGCGATAGTAAAGGTAAGCAATAATATATTTTTTCCAAGCGTCCAATGAATAGCAAATTTCAACTGCCCAACTAAATTTTAAACCTGACGATTGACTACTGCACTGTTAAAATGGGCTGACCGATTGTTATCGGCCATGCCTTTTACGAGTTGGAACAAAGCTTTTATATATTACATAATACACAAATATTAATTCCAGTCTAAACTTAGGTTTCCAATTACTTTGGACCCAAGACTGTGAATTTACCGAGAAAGATTCGTGGCTGCGGCAAATAACCGGTTTCGATGAAGTATTCAATCATGAAACAGCCCTAATGGCATGGGTTGGTGGCGATGCTGTGCAGAAAGTGGAAAGTTTGCAGACGGACGAAATTGGCGTACAGTGCACGGATTTGCTTCGCAAGTTTCTCACAAACCGTTATTCGGTACCAGCTCCCAGTAAAGTTATAAGGTAAGAAAGTTATTATTATGTGGTACTAGTTTGACATGAACACCAAGTTATTAGTTACACAAGTTTCATTAATTAACTTCACATCTGACGTGTATCATTCAAAATTTAATTCAAAATGGTTGAAATATTTATTGGATTTGTCTTGAAATAGGTACCAGAAACTTTTCGTTAAATTAAAATTCAACGCGCTTGTTGATTGTTTACATTTTGACTTCAGTTAGAGGATAATAGCCGATTGCACCGTTTGCCTAAATAACGTTTTTAGTGATTTTAATCATTGTTTAATTTGAAAAAGGACTTGCACCGTTCATTAATCAACGTTTAGCGAACCTTGAACATTGATTGAACTAAACATGCAATGAAATTTTATAAGTTAATGATGAAATTGACATAAATCGTCTTCTTTCATGGCCTTCCTCCGCAAAAATTTCGACCGCGAAAAATATTTGTTGGTTTAAATTATAAGATATTTATTTATTATTTAAAAAATATTCTAATTGGTTAATTAATATTCTCAGTCAATTTAAGTATTATTGCAGTTGAATACAATGAGTAGTTCTACCTGGAATAAATTGCCACGATTTAATTTGTCTTTTTCAATTCCATAGGCCATTAAAATAAGTGCTTTCGCAAAATGGTTCAGTAAATTCTGAATATCAACAAATCTGCAATGAGCGGCAAAAAAACTGGGACACCTGAAAATTTTAATGATCAATGCGATTCAATATCAGGCAGATATTATTTACTAAGTTGGAATAAAATTTTTATTGTGGTTATGGTTATCACTGTCATCAGATACGCAATTTTGAAGCAAAAGAATAGTACGAAAGAAGAAGACGACTTAGAAAACAACACTGAGCTACTAAGATGCTACTGGCCGGAACCTTTGAAATATTTAGTTTGATTTTTAGGCTCGTAACGAGTTACCTAGTTTTTGTTGATGATGAGATGTTGCCACTACCAGTGTGTACCAGTAATTTTAAAATCGGAAAATGAAAAACTAATTTTAAAAGATTAAAAATTAATTTATTTAAGAATAAAAAGAAAAGTTAAGAGTTAATTCATTTAAAAAAAGGTAAGAGAAAGAAAAACATAAAATAATAATAAAGGCACTTCGACCAGATACTACTAAAATAACCCATATTTAATTAATAGACCAAAAACAAATTGAACTAAACAAAAATTGAAGAAAAAAGTATTTTTCCAATTAAAAGGTTTGGTCCCAAAACTGACACTTTAATAGAATTGAAATTAAAGATAAATTATCACCTCTTTGAAGAGCCTTCACTAAACACTGGACGGCAGATGAACTGGAGGATGAAAAAAACGGATTAACAACTCGTTGATACTTTGCGATTTAAATATCCGGCGACCACTCGCGTTAACTGGTCTCAACACTCGCTTAAATAAGCAAGAGGGAACCACTCTCTGGGTACTGCTTTAGAACGCCATTGGCTATCTATTAGTACCGGGGTTAAGAGTCGAGAAAAATCGAAGATCTCTAAGCCTCCTTACTTTCAGCGATTCGCTGACTGTACCCTCCGGCATTTCATCCAATTTAGTAACTATCCCACTTTTTCCATGGGTCAGTGTATAATAAAAAGGAAAATAATAAACAGAATTATAAATCAAAATCTGCATACTCTGGCTATTTTATTTAAATTTGAGTGAAAATTAATTTATAATCTGTACAGGTTTTTTGAACCATATATTTTATTTAAAATAAAATACCAAGTAAAATACAGTTTTCATTGGTTTTTCTCTTATTTATTGCAATTGAGATAATTTAAAATAACTTTGCATCATGGCCTTTATTATGGCCATGAGTTTTTTAATTTTTAACTTACAGAAAAATGAATGCAAACTTTGCTTTTGTCGTCGGAGAATTTTCAATTTTAATAAACATCAACTAGGCATTTTTCAATTTTTTGATCTAAACAAAACTTATTACTTCTTAGAAGTATGGGAATTTATTTATTTGATGGTAAATGAATGTTTTTTTTTTTTTAAATATTTTTCGTAATTGATGTGAACATTGATTTTTTTATTAAAAAAAATATTGAATTTCAATTATTTCTTGGGGTAGCGAGCATGACAATATTAGGTACAATTTTCTCTAAATATACATCAAACACAATATATTAGCTGCTTCTAGAATTTCTCTTTTTCCTTTTTCATTGCACTCATACGATCACAATTCAAATTTGGTAGAGGTATCTACATATTAGGTAGGCAATCGATTTTCCACTTTCCCAGTAATTTGCATACATTACACAAGTTGTCCATTATATTTATCTACTATAGTTTCCAAGAGCAACTGGATGGATAAATTTGGTCATCTATTATAACAAAGTTTCCGTAATTCAATTAGGGACGTTAAACTTCGACATCAGCCAATTTAATTTAAAATAATGGTATGAAAGGCAGATTAATTATTACCTATATATTTGGATTATATATTCGTTTTATTTAAATGAGGAGATCGTAATAGATGTGTTGTGGAAAATATTACACGAGTTAAACTTTAGTTGGAAGAAGCAGAGCAGAAAATCGATTTTGGATGATAAACAACTAAAAGTCTGTTGGAGAAGACAATATCAGAGATATAGGGAAAATAAAGAAGATAACAGTTGTATATTACATGCAGAGGTGAAAAGTGTTTCATTATGCCTACTCGGAAACGCTGATCCGATTTTCCCGATCACCAGCTGCTTGTTTTTTTTTTTTTTTTTCAAACGTAATATTCTTCTATTGTAGCATGGAAAATGACTAGAGTTTTTAATTATCAGTTTGATTATTTTTGTCAAATGAATTTTCCGCGTCCAAACGTTCTGTTAAATTGATTGAAGTTTTCACTGACTTATGTGATTTGATTTTGATAAAACGCTTTAACAATAGCAATAAAGTTGCTAGGTAGTTTTTGCTTGGAATTTCAATCTTCTATTTGGAGTAGAAAACGGAAAATTAATTTCCACCAGAATGTATTTTATCTATTGGGCCGATAACTACGTCTAATTGCTTCGGCCTGATTCACTTTTCCTGATTCCGTTAGCGAGCCTATGAAATTTGTTGTAGGAAACATTTTTTTTTTTGTTACAAAAACTCTAATTAATATATTATTCTATTGTTCTTGGGTATATTTGGACCAATGAAACCAAGTGGTTTTGTTTTTTATGCTACGTTTCGAAAAATTTATCGAAACAGGACAAATTTAGCAATAATAAATAAATAATTTTCAAATAATTGAAATATTTTGAAGAGTTAAATTATCTCAAAACAACAAATATTCATATAAAACAACAAAGATGATAAAAAAAAAATAAAAAATATAAAAGTTACGAGACTTTCGAGACGACATAATAATAAAAAGAAGTAAAAAAAATATATTTTAGAGGGTGTCAGTATTTAATTAATAATGATTGCTTACCTTCAAAACAAGGTCAATATTATTGAAATTAACAACATTGTATTCCAATTTTCGTGTTCCATACACTGATGCCTATTGTACATCATTGGTATCACGCGTTTCGCCTTCTTTCGAATTTTGAATTTTAAAAATTTAAATCATAAATACGCTGAACGGCTAAAGCGTTCATTCTGTGTTTCGATCAAAAACTAAATTATTATAACTTGTATAGATATCTTATGGGGACCTTTGGGAGCTCTAACGTCGTGTAGAACGGAATGTTGTTTTTTCTATTCAATTTATTATTTATTAATAATCTCTCATCCCCATTAATCAGCTTTTGATTTAAGTAGCAGTTATGTCTGTCTCTCAAAAGGACCGATCTTGATGTTGTTCAATATAGTCATGTAGGTTATTAGTTTAAATTTTAAAAGTTGCTGACACTTCACTTCACCAGTTTCTTGTCTATGGAGTAACATATCTAAAAAATTCAATTCTTCAAAATATTTCAATTATCTGAATATTATTTATTTATTATTACTAAATTTGTCCTGTTTCGATTGGTAACAGCCTGAAGAAGAAAATAAATTTTTCGAAACGTAGCTTAAAAAACAAAATCACTTGGTTTTATTGGTCCAAATATACGCAAGAACACCAGAATAATATCTTCCCTACTGAACAAGAACTGTAAAAAACAACTAATTAATATAAATTTAATTTTTTTTTTGATAAGGGGACTAGGAAAAGAATAGAAAACTAGAGATAACTGGCCTCAGAAACATCCTAATTATTAAAATTAAACCCTCCGAAATGTCCAAGATTAAATTGTCTTAGTAATTTGTCACACTAATAAATTAATCTCTCCTCGCAGTATTTGTGTCTCTCAGATTTATAATTACTTACAGACCGCTGCTGTCACCAGCAGACTCTGTTTTTCCGAGAATAAAGTGTTTGTGCTTTATTTTGTTTACAAGATAATATATTATTATGCTTGGGCAATCGTTTAGAAATAATTTATTGTTCAAATAATTAGCTGTATTTGTCTTTTTTCAAGTAGACTACGATCTTGCTGTGAATAATATTTCTCTAAAATCTATAATGTGTGGATTTGTGTATACAGGGTGGTCCTCCGGGAATGACATCGATTGCTTATGGGAAAACTGTGAAAGGTAAAAATTTGAAAATTTGGCAACATAGCAATGTCCAGGTAAAATATTTTCAAGATGGCGGCATTTCCGGTCATACCGGAAGTTGATACCAATTCGGTTATTTTAAATAGAAAACCCCGTATATTAATGTATTTTTGGATTCTAAGGAAAATTCTAAATACATTTCATGTACGATAGGCTATACCTAAGTCTAACCGTTTTTGACATATTTAAGTTTTTATGTAAAAAATTACGTTTGCAGACCCTAAAATAATTGTCAATTTTTCCTATAAGGAAGCCTTTATTCTTTGATTGAACCTTGATTCCTTGTTGAAAAGGACCTATTTTATTAGATTTTCATTAGGTTTTGATAACTTTTAATACAGAGTGCTTAAAAAATAAGATTAAAAATAAAGTTGAGAAAACTTCCAAAAATCAATTTTTTC